CTATTCTATCGTGGATATAATATATTTATGCGAGCTGTAATTATCAAAAAATTGTTATGCGCCACTAATTATGAATCACTGTTTTAATTAGGGCTTTGGGTATGGCTCGCCAATATTTCATTTCCAACCATATCTCATGATATTTTGTCTTCTTTATATCAGATAATTTGCTGATCTTTTTTGGTGGTTATATATAGAGTGCAACCTAACTTTAATCGTAAAACGTGTTACCTGCGGCAACCAATAATTATTTGCAATGGATTTCAACGATTTCAAGCCGAATCGTCTAGCCTTGAGCGTCGTTATGTTCAATGAATTCCACCCAACTAAAACCTCGGTTTTTATCTTTTCCGCATATGAGCTTCCGTTCACCACCAAACATATTAAAACAGTCCCTCATTCGAGCCTGACGTGCGAAGTGCGAAAAAATTATGCATTGAAAGTAATAACAGCCGCCTCTGTTTCTTTATTGAGATATCAAGTTCACAAAGCTACAAAACTCGTATCTGAACGATAAACATCCTCAAATATGATGAACTATCATCTAGGCCCATAAAATTAAAACGTGAGCGCTTTTCACAGAAGATTTTGGCAATCGCATCCTTGGCCATGGTATGGAAATTTGAATAAATAGGGGCACAACCTAACAATATGAAGGGAGTAGAAAACAATCGGTATATGCTTGCTAGCAGAAAATATATATTAGAGAAGTATATTAATCCGTTTGCCCAATATTTTCCTTATCATACGAAGATTTGATCTTAAAGTTGGTAGGGTCCCGGGAGAGGAGACATGGAAAGGGAACGGAGAGAATAGACGGCGAAAGGAAACTAGGAAAGGGAACAGGTAGATGAGACGGGGAAAAAGAACGGAGAGAGGGATAAATTCTGACGCATACTTTCATATGAAATTGTCAATAGATGAAATTGAATTATTTTGCATCAGTTTAAACCAGCTCAAAATTGCGTCATTTTGTTAATTACAAAGCCGGTTTTACCGCTTAGTACATTTGGATTAAGCAGCATTATATTGAATGGCTCGAACATGTACCTTTCAATCGTTTTTTTTTCAACTAAAACTGAGCAACGTGAGTGCAGAAGTTGGTAGTAGTTAGCTGCCTAGATCTATCGGAACCTAACTACCGTCAATGACGGTAGTTAGGTCGCCACTTACATGCTATTGCACTTAACTCGCAGCTCGTCAATAAAAACCGTATATGCTGGTCAGAACTAAGATTCGTAGGATTCGATTACGACATGACAGCTATGATGTTTTCGATTGGGCTGTAAAGTTGTGGCTCAGTTTGTTTAAAAAATAGATCGCTTTCACTGCAAGCCGACTCAAGTGCTGTGGCGACGTTAGTATCATTGATGGTACTGTCATTTGGGGCGCTCAACAGAAATGCACTGTAAGAGAAGTTACTTGCGAACTTCGAGTTAGATGAAACACTTGGCTCCTTCATGCTGAGCGTAATTCAAGGCTGCTATTATTAAGTGAACTTTTAGAGGTTAATTTAGGGTGACGAATATCCGACAGATATTCCGAGAATTTATCATTGGAAGTACGTAATATCAGGCTAAAATCTGCAATAGCACGGATGACAATAATGTATATATTTTAGGCATTCTTTTGAACCATAATGAATGCAAATAACAAGCAATTCATTTTTAAAGTAAAGTGAAGCATCGCATTGAAGTTAAACGACAGATAGACACTTGGAAAATCAGTTTTAAACGTGAAAGGTAAAATCAAAATGTCCCACTGAACTTAATTTATAAATAAACTTATAGACTCATCGTAGTCTGCTACATTACCAATTTGGTTTCAATTCCAGAAACTTGACAAGAAATTGATGTTACTTAGTACTTACCAATTCCTTAAACGCGTTAGACATGAAAGCGGTTTCAATTCCATAACTTAGCTGCCACAACAATGTGACAAACTCAAACCTCAGAAGACCAAAAACACTAAAAAAGTTGAGTAAACGCAGTGACTTGAAATGAATTTAACACTTTAAACATTATAATTCGTCGTAATTGTAATTTCATGGGAAGAACTTGACAGCTTGCGGAACGGAAAGTGGCTGGGCACATCACGTAAAATTCTGTCACTGATTGAGGTTTCTCTCGATGCAATTAAGCATGTCTGTGTCTTCTTTTTCAACCCTAATTAAATTCTGGTCGTTGTAATAAAGGTTAGAGACACCGCTTTATTGCATGTTCAGTGGTTTGAACTTTAGCGTTGTCACATCAGAATGTATTATAATCATTCGCCTAAAAAAAAAATAACCGACTGAATAAAAAAGTATCACGATTAAAAATATTTAACATATTTATTGAGCAAATAGTAGAAGTGCTCCGGTTGACTTAGAAGCCTTCATGAAAATGAAATCTTTTAGTTCATATATACGTCAGATAAAATATTCTCGAGAAAATCATTTATAGCGAACATGGCGCCGTGATTGGATGAATACATGAAAATATTTTCGCCATTGTAGTGCCTCAAATCTACCACACAATACATACTCCAACTCGCGAGGCTCGGAAACATAGTCCATTTTTTCGAACATAGATCATGTAAAACCTCGGTAATTTTTCGTAAACTTTTTCTGGAGCTTAAGCGGTTCCTCAGGACTTTACATTTTTAATTCAGTCGTACGGAAAGGAATGGTGCCTTGAATTCACTTGGAAATTTTCGTTCTAAAAAACAGCCTCCCCGATGACATCGTTGGCGCTCCAAGTATGAAGGAGTTCAAGAACAGACTAGATAAAGCTATGGAAAAATATATGTTCAGATTTGAAATGCCTAGCACCATATCGAACCCGGTGGAAGTCGAATAGCTACTTCAAACTTTCGTCAGTCATGAAAAGATCCGGTCAAATGACAAGATTTTAGATCTTCTGTGAACAAGGCACGAAAAGGAAAAGAATCGGCGACAGGCCACATCAGGCCTACACTTCAGCGCCGACATCGCTATGTCATGTTATGTTAAAGATGGCATAGAGGATTTTTTTCAGACCTTTATATAAATTCGTTGCGTTTTCTTCATGTTTTTAGGTCTAGATTCACCGGGGTGATAATTGTTTGCACTCTTATAAATTTCAAAGGTATCGACCTGCCTATTTTAAATGTGTATGAAGAAACACGCAAAAAATGTATGTGACCGGAATATGGATGTACCTCATTGAAAATATCGTGAGAACTGTGGCGGAAAATGCTGAATAGATTTGGATGAATGCATCGAAAACTAAAAGAAGTAGAACCTAAGTACACAAGAAATCGTGACTCATAAAACTAAAAGAAGTAGAACCTAAGTTCACTAGAAATCGTGACTCATTGAAAGCTGTCAATTAATGGGGTGTATCATAATTATAGTACAAGCTTTGTACTAAAACTATTTGCTCTTAAAAGATTCGAACAATTAACGTAGTAACTGTCATTAAGTTAATTCAGCGTTAAATCACTTGAATTACATTTAAGTTTAAATAAAGAAGTGATATTAAATATCATAATTCATTAACATCAACGAAAAACGCATGATTCATAAATACTTGATTATACGCATGAGATGAAAACCCTTAGAAATTTGCGAAAAATTTCGTCGCATTTTGTTTTCTTTGACGGTAATTTTCGCTTCAAAAGTGCGACTCTGACGTCGTTTTCGGTCATGTTTGTTGACGACCTGGTCGTCATGGCAACGCCAGACAAAGCTTGTGCTCCGAATACACCGCACACGAAAATGATTCTTATATACGAAAAAAACTGTGCAGTGGAATTTTCTATAGTTATATCAAACAAAAGTCTCACTGTATTACATGATCAGACGATCAAATTTTTCATACAATTCCGAACAAGATTACGATAACTTTTCTGATTCTATGAACTTAGAAACTCGTCATTGGATTCAGAACTTTTACGTATTGACATAAACGTTGAATTTACTGACTTAAATTTCGAATGAAGGTAACTTTCCACAGACGAAGAGATTTTCCAAAAATTAAGAACAGACATTCAGCTCGAGGACATTCATGCTAATAAGTGAATAATTGAACACGAGACAGAGTACGTGGATCATGTCAGTACGATTGTGACACTCACGAGTGAGGTACGTGAGTGTCGTACGTCATCGGTGGTGTTGAATTGTTCATGTAGAACATAACCCAGAAATTATCAAATAAAAACCAAATTATCAAATAAAACCAAATAAGGAACTTGAGATAAGGAACTTATGATCTCACTATGAACTTTATAAAATTTAGAGAGAGAATTATTCCAAGGAATTTCTAAGAAAGGCCATCAATGAGTGAAGGTCAACTGCGTGATGAAACCTAAAAATGGTGTCACCTCTGAAATTGCAATATAATGCGTGATGAATCAAGTGTTAGTGTGCAGAGTGTAGGAAGTAACAGGCGTTACTGTGCAGAGTGTACAGAGTGTAGCAAGTAACAGGCATTACTGTGCAGAGTGTACAGAGTGTAGCAAGTAACAGGCGTTACTGTGCAGCATGTAGCAAGTTGAATGATCCATATTAACATAAGATGACATAACCTGATGGCTTTAAATTGTAATTCAGCAAGTAAGCTAAAGGAGTTACCGTGCACTGCAAAGCATGCCGCAGGTGCAAGTTTAATGGTAATTCAAAAGATGGTATAAAATTAATTAATCAAAAGATTAATCAAAATTGAGATTAAAAAGATTTAATCGTGTACAGGAGGTAGCAGCTGACGCTTGGACTTCGATGTTATTGCTGGAATGAAGTGGAATATTGCATTTAAAGAGGGTCAAAGAATTAATAGACTCATTTATTTAGTACAATTCTTGTGTCTTCACAAATCTCCTCTCGGTTTTCAGATTACCTGAGAATTTAACAACTAAATTTAATGAATTTAATTATTCAGGAGCTGAATTTTGGATCGTAAATGGTGTACTTTAGAATTTTAATTTCAATTTATTTTTCAAAGTTCATTTCAAATAATCATATCCCTGAACAAATTTAGAGAACGTCCTAGTTAGTATAAAACAACACTTCAAGTTAATCCGTTTACTTGAAACCAACTTTTATCTTGAAACTATTATGACCGTTAACAAATATTTTCCTCGGACCAGTTTGATAGGAATTCATAGAGGCTCATTCTTTTTTTAATAACAAAGAAAAGCACAAGGACGATTCAGGAATGCTTGAAGGTTTGCAAGTCACGCAACATCATCGACATGCATAACGTGCAGCTAGCAGCGCAATCGTCGTTGCATGGCAGTTATGGCCAATTACGAGCAAGCTTTTGCATTAACCTGTATTAGTCATAATCGAAAACATGCAGCGAAATGTGATCATGAATATCAAACTCATGAATATTGTTGTGAATCCAGCCTTCGCAAGAAATGGTTTCGTAAATCTGCCGCTTGGTTGAGAAAAAGAAATTTGTTGGGTATTTCCATCGAATCGCAGACGATCCAAGTGCTCTTTTCATCGGTTTTAAATCATCTCACCGTGTATTTGTGGACTTTATTACGAGCTGAAAGAACGACAAGAACAATTAATAGGTGCAAAACGATGCAAAGTGTGCGAACAATGACGAACCGTAATTTTTGTTTGATTATTTTGGCTCTGAGTCTTTGCGGGTCTGTCGTTGAGGCTAAATACGTTGAAGGATATTTGAAGACACCTAATGTGAGTATTAAACATGAATATACTCTATCCATAAGAAGATAAAGTTTAAAAAATTATATTGTTGACATCGCCCATCATCTATGAATAATGAATAAAGGTGATAGAGTTATGGATCTTGAACAATTTTTAACAAAAGATCCTGATCGAATTTTTCCCATATAATTCTATCTAGTAAGAGGCAGTGTAGGGTTCACCGTGACCAAATGTATTTACAATATTTGCTTCAAGTAGTTTTACATTACAGTTGAAAATTTTGATTATGCTGAATTTTAGCTATATATGAAAACAATAATATACGTAATTAATGCGGAAGGTGTCTGAGTTAATAACAGTTCTCAGTCGCTCTCAATTTGTTGAGCTATTCCAAAAAATTAAGTTTTGGTTAATAATTTAATATTAATGATTGTTGCTTGAATTTCGACTCGTTGTAATGCTTTCACGATCGCTTCAGAACTGGGCTTTCCTTACGCGGTTTTGCTTCCTGTCCAACGAAGGGAAGTTCACCTTCGATGTCGAATACGAAGTTGAACACAACACCCATCAGAAGCTGCTGCTCTACTACGATGAACCTCATCAGTGGCAAGCCGTCTACAAAACTGATAAAGTAATGCCATTAAAGTTCAAATTAATGGAGAATTGGTGCATTTAACATGATATAAATATACGTGACTTGAATGAGATTACCGGTCAAAGTTGATCACTGATACCGTTGTCAGATGACTGATTGAGTCGTGATAATTATCACTAAATTGTTATTCATAAGTATACTCTGCATTATTTCTATCATCCTCAAGCGAAAATTTATTATTTATTCTAGGAGTAAATTGTTACGAATAGCTTCTGCCGGGCCAAAGAGGAGGAAAATTTTGCTCCAACTTCCCAATGACTTGACGTGCTTATCACTTAACATCTTCTCAAACATGTACCACAGATATGTTTTATCATAAACCTTAATCTCTCCTAATTTTATAAAGTATCGCTGAATGAAGATTATATTTATTTTTACATTCAAAAACTTAGATAAGTAGGTGCATATATCTTACTCACAATTATAACTGTTAATGAGCAGACGTGTCATGAGAAGGAAAACGTCATGAAAGTCGCCAGAAATCAGTTCATCAACCTGACGCTCTTCGCTCGCATGTCGGAGTGTGAGCTTATCAGGACTTTGCCAGCCAACCAGAGCTCCATGCACTGCCAGGGCGACAGGTAACAATAGCATGCAGTCATTGTCAGGACTTTGCCAGCCAGCCTGAGCTCCATGCACTGCCAGGGTGACAGGTAACAATAGCATGCAGTCAAAATCCGTGTGATCACAAACAAGTCATGTGAGAAATGGTCCCGAAATTCTAGTTTCTTTTTGAAACTAAAATATCTGGTAATTAAGCAGCATTAACGGTCTTAAGTCGAGAGAGTATGAGATTTTCTAATATTTGCAAATTTATTTTTATTTTTTTTTTATTTTCGACTTAAACTTGTGTATTATTTGATTGTTGCTCTTCATCACATATATTTATTGATTTTATGCAACGACCAAGCAAAATGTGTTAATGATTCATATGAATATTCTGACGACTAAAAAATTACACAAAAACACATCTGCGCAGGAATTTCATTACAATTCACTAATTATATAACTAAATTACTAGGACTTTCATGTACTGGAAATAGAGAGACAATCCAGCCGCTGGAATTCGAATTAAAAAAATCTTAATGCTTCCCTAGATAAATGATAAACAAAAAGTAAAGAGAATGCGGTATATTTTGTGCAGGGTATTCACCAGCTCGAGAGAACGCTGGTGGTTCATCGGCCTGAGTAACTGTGAGGCAACGCAGGCGAGTATTAAATTACTTAGCATTATGCAATAATAACCTTTTCATATATTTAATTAAAATCTAAATAAATTTTGAATACTATTCATATCTTTTATGGAGTCACTGTTTTATGACATAAAATTGGTAATTCCTAAAATTTATATGAATGTTTATATAATTTAGAAATTACAATATTATCTTCTTGCCAGATAGCGGATAGCTTCTTCTTCTTTCCATCAAGCGCGGATTAATTTTTTATTCACTCCGGAATATCTTTTCCCAGCGAAAATTCTAATAATCAAGTTTCTAAATATTTTTTTTTGTATATAACTTCAACCTATTTACGTAAATGATATTAAATTATTGAGCCCATTTTATGTCATGACCTAGTGCATTGATTCTCAATATTCTAAAGCGAAAAAAATTCTTTTCAATTCTTCAGGGCCTTAACCTGAAATACAGATTTGTGCTCACCAATGGCTACAGTTACTGGTACAAGCACTTCTCTGCCGACGAATTTTGTACGTATTGTTCGCATGAGACACTTATAAGAATAGAAATATTCCAAATAAACAAATTAAACCTGATTACTAGTGTCGAAATAGGTAAATGTTGTTTGGTATTTAATTCACATTGGTATTGAAAGCTCAAAATATTCCTGTCCATTTTCATGAATGCAATTAAAAATTGTTAAATTATGCACGCAGCAATTTTAGATTTTTTCATGTCCTGTTTTAGTTGAGAAAAATATTATTAAGACTGCGAAATTAAATACCATTAGCTTCAATATGAATTTATTCATTATTATCTCAACATATTCAATTAAAATAGGTTTTGGAAGAAGAGAATCTCATGGTTGTATAATGAACAATTTAATTGTAACTACATGGTTTGAATGTGATAAACGTTCGAATTATTACTTTTTCATCACACAAACCCGTTGAATTGTTTTTTTTTTGGGGGGGAAAAGGAGGGTTATTTTAGCAATTCTTATGACTGAAATTTGTGCTTTCTTTCTAACAGTACTGAAAGCTGTTACTTCATGCAGTTATTGTTATTGAAAGCTGTTATTGAAATTTATATTGAAATGAATTTAAATTTATATTAAAATTATTTATTGAAAGCTGTTATTTCATGTTATTTAATGCATCCGTATTTATTTTTCATGCAGTTATCTTGCAAACAAATATGAGCGCAATCACCATCGAGATGGCCATCTTCTTCTTGAGTCTTATGAGCGCCTGTGAGTTATCCCTTCATGAAAAGCTAATTTATTGAATTATTATTAATTGAATTATTATATTATTTAATTTTAATTATCTATTAATTATTTTTATTTTTACATTGAATATTATTTATTGAATTATTATATTACTACTATAAAAACTAATTTATTGAATTATTGAACTAGTTTCAAGACCTTCACTAGAGTTCAAATTAAACTTTCGAATTGTACCTACATTGGAAGCTACAAATATTGATTGAATAATTTATTTATAAGATATTTTGGTCTCCGGAACTATTTAAGACCATAATGTTATTTAGAAATATTAAATTCCTGGATTTTGAACAATTGCTTCCATTTTGAACACACGTTTTTCAACTCTTTCTCAATTATTTTTGTATCAGTTTTCATTACATTATAGTGCCAAATTTCCTGCTTTCCACATAATTAGCGCTCAATAATGTCATAGTTCGAGCCAATTTTTCTCTCAATACATAAAATATTGCTAGCCACATTTGAATCGATCCGACGAATTTTGTACGTATTGTTCCAATGAGACATTCATACGCATTTAAATGCTTCAAATAAACAAATTAAACCTGATTACTAGTGTCGAAATATGTAAATGTGTGTTTTTTTAATTCACGTTGGTATTTAAAGCTAGAAATAATCCTGACAATTTTGACGAATACAATGCAAAATTTGTTAAATTATGCTTGCAGAAATTTTTGATTTATTCGTCTCCCAGTTTTATTTGAGGGAAATATTATTATTAAAACTATGAAATTAATACTGCTAGCTTCAATACGAATTTATTCAGAATTATGTCAAGAAATTTATTTAAAATAAGTTTTAGATGAAGAGAATCTCATAGATTTATAATGAACAATCTGATTGTGACACGACGGGTTGAATGTGATAAACGTTTCAATTATTGTTTGTTCAGCACACAAACCCATTGAATTTTTTGGTGGGGGAAAGGGAGGTGCGGTGGGAAGGTTATTTTTAGCGATTCTTATAACAGAAGTTTTTGTGCTTTCTTTCTTACAGAACATAATTTATTTTTCATGCAGATATCTTGCGAACAAACTTGAGCGCAATCACCATCGAGATGGCCATCTTCTTCCTGAGTCTTATGAGCGCTTGTGAGTTATTTCAGCAGTGAAAAACTAATTTATTAAATTATTTTTGAATAATTTCGAGACCGTCACCAGCGTTCAAATTAAGCTTTCAATTTGTACATACATCGGGATCTAGAAATGTTTATTTAATACTCATGATATATAATACATTTTGGTCTCATTGCTTCCACTTTGAGACCAAAATTGCTTCTATTTTGAACACTTGTTTTTTCAACTCTTTCTAAATTATTTAATATTAATTTATATTACATTGAACTGCCGAATTTCCTGCTTTCCACATAATTAGCGCTCAATACTGCAGTTGTATCTTATTTCGAGCCAACTTTTCTCTCTATACATAAAATATTGCTAGCCACATTTGAATCGAAGAGCTCTTATTTCTTTGTCAAAATTGACTTTGAATATTATGAATCCTTTAGTTTATTCGTTTTATTGAGATTTTTTACAAATATAATTTTATGATAAAATAGTGATGCACTTTTCACCTTCGTGTGGATCTTCCTGATCCACTTTTAAATGGCAAATGGGCGTATCATTGCTACGTACAGAAAGCATGTCACTATTTGGACATTATTACCCATGAATTGTTATTAGTGCAGTTCACATATCAGCTGTCCATAATGTAGCCACAGCTGAGGCTCGACCATGGCTTATTGCTGGTCAGCTGTGGCTTAGAATATCTGGGTAATATAACCCAAAGTTTCAATTACCAAGAAACTACTTAAATTATACAGGTATTTGTGTTTCAAGTCAAGTTCACGTTTTACGTAACTTATTAGTGTAATTAGGCAGAAGTTCTTCATTTATTCAGGTTTGATTGAAGACCAGAGCGTACTTTTTATTAAAAATTTTCTTATTTTTTTTCAATAAGCCGAACGAAATTTCTTGCTGCTGTTTGGAGATCAAAAAGCAGATTACCAAATGACATTTTGCTGGAGTATGACGTTTCGAATATATCAATATTCATTATCAAGCAGGTGAAGAGTTATTAAAACGATTAAAATTGAAATTTGGACATGACGCAACGCATAGGACACTTTGACTTCATTAATAAAGTGTCTCAGTCGCGCTCCTATATACGATCTATTTTTTTGGGCATGTTTAATGTTTATTTTTATATAAGACGACAAAAAAAAAAGAAAATAGTTACTGATCATTCCATATAATTTGAAATTATTTAAGTGAACGGTGATAGAGCCTTTAAACAAGCGTTTTTTGTGGTATCAGAAAGTAATTCAAATGTTGGATGTAGATTCCCGGGACTTTTGTGAGATATCTGTTTTAAATGTTTATTATATTGGCTGCGCTTTTTCACTTAATTGAAGATATACTAATAAATTTTACCTAAAGATGAAGCGTTATTTATGTAAAGATATCTTATTTACGACCAAGATATGTGCAATCACAGGACAAATAACGCCCTTTCCTAAATGCAGTTATGGCTTAATCATGATATGCATGGGTTAATTGAGCGGTTTGAGTCATTAGTATTTAGTTATTAAATTTAACATTCTATATTTATAGGTCTACTAAATTATACTAGGTTAACAATTAAAACATGATAATGATTTTCTGATATATTTAATTTTGAATGTTATTTGATTTAAATCTGCTTTGTACTCTACTTCAGTAGCCAGTTCGATATTTAGATAATAATTCTTATTTGCCCAAGAAACACAAATCATAACATTACATTTCAGCTGAACTGAAGCGGCGACAGATGTTACACTCGACGTACCGTCTCTACATCTACGCGGTGGTGCTGCACATCTGTGGACTGGTGCTGTTATCGGCGCACTATGGCCGATATGGCGTCGATGGCATAGGCTATCCGTACGTCAAAGTTTTCGGTAAGATATAAACTAGCGATGTATATAAATCACAGAAATTTACAATAAATTTAATGTAGCTGAATTTAACTGCCGGAAATCTGATATTTGTTTCTTGATTTGGAAAATTGAAGTGGGGTTAACTCATGAAGGCAGAGCGGCCATACACAACAAAGGCTATATTATTATTATTCTACTACGAAGTCGTTAGCGTTGATTCTGGTTCAAACGAACTTCGAGGGCTCATTACACATATGTTTAATTGCAAGCAACTATTAAATAGACACGTGAAAGAAACCTAATTCTATGGCATATATAACACCTATAAAATTTATGCAGCCAGTTTGCAGTTGAATCGTGCATTACTTCCACGATTCAGATGAAATTTTGTGCAAAATCATGGAAATTCTTAGCGTAAACCCGATTTCGAAATTGTTTAACTGCTTCACATAAAGTTCGTAGGCCCTTTGAGCAGTTGAAAAGTGAATAATTTTCTTGAGTTAGAGGAATGTTGCTAGCTAATCTATTAAGCACTGAATATGACACCCAGACGAGCAATCCGACGTCACCCTAAAATGCCTTGCTCTAATTGTTTTAAAAAAGTAACGTGTCGACTATTATTAGCCCCCGTCGACTATTAAATGAATAAAAGAAACCTTATCAGCAGAAACAATTTTACTCCATATGTTTTTTCGACATTGTCATTAAAATCTAGATCACACCGGTCTACATAATTACCTTACATATTTCACCTTCAAATGCGTTGAAAATAATTCATAATTTTGATCGTTCAAAGTTAAAAGGAAATAAACAGTTAAATTTCACTTTTCAAATCTAGTCTTTTCTCAATTAATCGAAATAATAACAAATCTATCCTAGCCGCAGCTTACTTTACACTGCCGCTCGGGCAATTAAATAACTAAGTTGTAGTAAAGTACATTTCCCGTTTCATTACCATTGACCTTCAAAATCCGAACATTGTTACCAATTTTGCTTTAGACTATCATTTGTATTAATTGTCTAATCATCCTTGTCGATATGTTAATTGCAATACAATCCATGGCAGGTCGCGTTTTTTCGAGCATAAGCACGATCATCACGGTGCTGTTTATTAATAGTCTAATCATCCTCGTCGATGTTAATTGCATTACAATCCATGGCAGGTCGTGTTTTTTCGAGCATAAGCACGATCATCACGGTGCTGTTCGTGCTGCTCATGGCCAAAGGCTACAACATCACCAGAGGCAGGCTCAGGTCGCGCACTACGGTCCGACTCACCGCCTTCATGAGCATATACACCGTCACTTATGCTATGCTGTTCGTATACGAGCAACAGGTATGCATGATTAATTAAAAACATTCTTTGTACATCAGTTTTGAAATAATTGTTCTTAGTGGAGTTTTGGGTTCGATATATACGAAATAAATTGTTAAATTTCCTGAAAGGAGCAAAAATCTTCCGAATTCTGGTGTTAGCTAAATTTGTATTTTTATTTTTCTGAAATGCTAAAGCTGTGCTTACATTTTAGGCTGTCATTTATTTATTTAATACGTGAAAAACGAAGTTATCTTTTCGGGTCGATTTAAGAAATTGTCTATAAAAATATTCAATGTATATTTGAAGCTGAAATTATTCTGTTTTCAGTTTTTCGACCCGGGCGAAGTGCTGTACCTGTACGAGAGTGCTGCAGGGTACGGTCTGGTCACGCTCAGGCTGCTGGGCTGGCTCATGCTGCTCTACAGTTGCTTCTTCACGCTCAAGCATTATCCTGACAAGGGAAGATTCTATACTCCATTCCTCATATTCTACACTCTTTGGTAAATGATAGTTGGAAATTTTATTTCAGATTACAACATATTGTATATCCATATGTTTAAATATTATGATATGACTACTTTATAATAATGATATTTTGTATAGTAATATATTATTTTTACATATTTAAATCAGAGGCTATCACCTCTGAAACCTCATATTAAACACAATTAAAAAAGGATTATGTGTTTGTTAAGTCTCGTTTTAAGCAGCAAGTTTATTCAAATCTTCATTCGACAAAAAATCGTTAGTTAAACTTCGTTGATCGACCACCCGATCACAATATGGTTCTATTAATACCACGAAGAACCTTTAGTGGATGGCGGTCGTTTGACGATGAATCTTCATATTAATCCTAGTTTACCTGACTCCTATATTTCAGACCTTGTCTCCGATGTTCTGCCTAACATTTATAAGTTCTTGATTAAATACTTCTGTCATTATTATCCCCAAAACGTAGCTATTTATCCACTATGTTACGATCAATTTTTAATACCAATTCATCCAGCACTGGTGATTTTATGTTCAAGAACTTATGATATTATGATTAGGTTCATCGCTGGTCCTGTGGTGATATTGATCAGCAATCTTGTCATCGACAAATGGGTGAGAGAAAAAGTTGTCAATGGAGTGGAACAAGCCATCGTCATCTGCGGCCACATCTTCTTTCTGGTGAGTTAATGCGGGGGAAATGATTCTTTACTTCATGATTTTGTGTCAATTCGAGAACGTCAGAACAAACTTTATTTTTACAGCGTAAATTGTCTCATACTGCCTCACTGATTATAATATTCAATGATGTCTTACCACTTCTCGCTAATTGAGTTAATTCAATCTTTCGAAAAGCAGTTCACAAAGCCAAATCACTCCACCAATATAATCAGCTTAAAATTACTCAATTTGTTTGGTGATATCACATTTGCACTTTCAGTAACATGTGTTTTTTTCTGTACTAACTATATATTTTGCTTTCGTACAGTGCTATCAAACATGCTTATCATTGTTATCGTTAATTTGCAGTTCATAACGCGTCCGAATGCTGCGAATTTCCCATACCACGTACGCACGACGCAAATCATGGCGATGGAGAAGACAGAGAACGGTAAGCTCGGTAACAACTCCCTGGACAAGTTCTCTACCCACGTGTACGCACCGGACGTTCCTGAAGGGCCTAAGAATTACACTTCTCCTGACCTCTTCATCGTCTCTGGCTCCGTTCATATGGTGAGTAAAGAAGTTTAGATTTGGGCGTCAATTAATAATCGTGCATATATATTAGGGTGATAAATTTTAGGTTATTCAGTCTACAAACAAATTCAGTCCACAAACAATTCAGTCCACAAACATTTTTTGCTTTTTTATATGAGAGTCATTACCGGAGATTTTAATATAATCTCTAACTTTACTGAAAAGCCTCGAGAAAATATTTTCTTCAATGTAAAGTGATGACCCATGCTTCTCCTCCACAGAGACCTGTTATGAATATGTCAACCTTAGGCAGAATCGACGAGCAACAAAATCACTGGAAGGAAACTCCTCCTTTCCCTATAGCATCGGAACGAAATTACTCCGCGGACAACAGTTCCTTGTCGAACAGCAGCAGAGCTTTGCTCTCCTCTGACCTCAAGAACTTCCCGTCAAGTAACGTCAAGTTTCAGGTCGAGACTCGTCGTAGTTCTGTTCCTACAACCAATTCCGTCCCTCCTGTGTGCGATTCAAGCTCTAACGGATCTGTAGCTCATCTAAGTGAACTGGAGGAGCGGTCGAAGCAGGACCAAAACAAGTCAAAACGCGGACGGCGTACGAGTGTTGCTGGAGGGGAGAAGGATGGAGGTTTCAAAGGACGCCTCAAGCCGCTTTCTGCTTTGCCTCCATTAAGGTAAAAATGCTATTGCGTTCAGAGTTTTCAGTAAATATTTTAGTGGTATCATTCTCCATAACACTAACTGTAAGGTTTTTAATTCTCTCATTGAAGACTGTAATATTATTCACTATTTCTTTCCATATTGTAATATGTGAAATCATTGAATTCAGAAAAGTGAGATGAAATACCAGTATATCCACTCGTTTTTTATATTTTTGCGGAACCATGAAAATAATTTATTTTCAGATCAAAGGCCGCTACCACGACCTCGTCCACCGTGTATAAAGTGATCAACCCTTCAGCGCCCCCGCTCTCAGAGGCGCCACCCGATGCCTGAAGCGCATTGCTAGATTATACTTTAAAAAAAAGGTAAGAGATCGCAAGTTCATCAGCCAATCATTGACGGCCTTTCGAGCAAAATCCACCAATCATAGACAAGAAAATAGAGCGTAAGTACTTACGTTCACTTAGCGAGTTTACTTAGCGCTAAGTGAACGTAGTACTTACGCTCTATTTTCTTGTCTATGATTGGTGGATTTTGCTCAAAGGGCCGTCAATGATTGGCTGATGAACTTACGATCTCTTAACTTCTGGGTTCTACGCCAATTACTAAAATATACGGCATTTTCTGCTGGTGTAAATAAGAGATCGCTGATCTGCAAAGTTATTCTATGAGGGCATACAATGATAATTTTTGTGTGGGTGATATACCAACATAGAATTTGTCGTTGGTTGTAATATTTTGTGTAATTATAATAGGATAGCCTTGTTAGAAACGGATACATAGATTTGAAAATTTGCCTTACTCTACGAAAGCAGTTCATTTTTTAATTTTTAGCGTAAACTGAAACTAAAAAGAAGAATTTAATCAAATGCATACATGTTTTTAGATTAGATTGAGAACTGAAGATAACTTAAAATGTCCATTATTAATAAGAGAAATAAAATCTGAATTTTCAATTGAAATATTAATTGAAAATAAAATTGACCTAGCCTGGCCTCAAATTGAAATAGAAATTGCACTGCTGAATTTTCTACCTACAGGACACCAGCAAATAGGAGAAGACTAACAAGCCCAGTAATTATGCTGTGATTATCAACGAAAACTCTAGGAATTTGTCGTAATCTAGTGTGTTAATAATAGCGTTTCTAGAATATATTATTTTTTGATCCACGAACAACGTTGTACTGAGATGACTATGTGCCTTTATCATAAATTATGAGATCGAATTGAAAAATGTATTGAAGAATTTTGCAACGAATTTTGACAGATTATAAATGCATTGCATTGACTTACCACTGAGAATAATTTTGGTAGTATGAAATATCAACACTCATAAGTTAATTAAATTGCGGCCTGATTTTTGTCAGAGAACTGTTAATAATGTAATTTCTGTACATTTTGTACATTAGTTTTGTAATTTTATATGCAAATAAGTTCGCTAATTAGTTTTCGGAGATGTCGAAGAGTGTTAGGAGTGTTCGTAGTTGAAGATTAGTAAATTAGTCGTTTGGAATCAGTTTTTTTGGTTAGCATTACTCAATTTCTAATTAACCTTAACATTAGAGAAATAGACATGACAAAAATGAAAATTTTCTATATAAACTGAAGTAGAATAAAATGGTAAGAATAGAGCTGTGAACAAAGATTATTCTTATTTTACCATTTGTCTTAAATTTTTAATTTATTTTGAAGTAGGGCTTCGCAAATTATGGAATTTGTGCGCCACTCGTGCTAAATTTCCTAGTGCATTAACCGACAAGGATAAGACATTTTAAAACCAAACGACAAGAAAGCATTTTTAAAACAATAAAAAAAGAATTATGTTCATATGCCAGAAGTCGTTAGCATATGATACCTACTAATGGCTTGATACTTATAGAGAATGATAGGTACAGCGGACACCGTGTTATAAGAGGCTAACCTATAGTTATTGTGATGGATGATGCACTCAGTTTACTTTTAAGTATGACAATAAACTACGTTACCGAATACGAGTTATATATGAAAATTAATCTAAATATTTCAAGATAGTTGTTTGATTGCTTCTAACGTTACTTATGTGTTATTTTTTGATGAGAAACACACGAAAGCTTGAATTCATGAGTGTCATTTTTTCAAATAAGTGAGTTTCCTTAAGTTTTTTCAAAATTTATCTCATTTAACTTTAATTAAAAAATTATGTTGCATTGAATTGAGAGTGCTCTAATTAGGCAGAATTTTACCCTAAAATTGTTTAAAAATTGAATTAAACATTAATAATTTTGAGGCTAACTAAATTTCACGATTCACTGTAATCCTTTGTTCATGAGGTTTTCCAGCGCAAAAGAATCATTCAATTTTTATTTTTTTTAATCCCAATTATTTCCAACGTGCAGGATTTTTTGCCTAATACATAGAAGTCTTCACGGTCGCTAGATTGGAGAAGATTCTGATAATTGAGAACTTTTAGTTGTTTTGCGCCAGTTTTCGGCTAAACTTTGAGTGGTTCGTACCCAAAGACCTCAAAGTCCTCATTGTAGGCGGTGTAGATCAGGTCCAATTCTTCACCGGAGAGCTGGTGCATGTATTCCTCAAAAGATCTGCACGCTGGATTGCTTGATTGGCCGTCATTTTCTTCGTGAGAACTCCTTCTGCTCGGACCAGTCTCTGGTCCATCGTATCCCACCAGCTTCCGGAGTAACGCGAAGTCCTTGTCGATTGTCTCTGACTTTAAATAAAAAAATTAAATGCTCTGGGTTACGCTCATTGTAATTATATAAAAAGATATTTCACTCACTCACAGTACATCAGTAAATAAATATAACTAGTGTTTCAATTATGAACAATATAGTCAAGAGAATGAAGTAGCTCACTTTCATAATGAGATGGAAGTTCCATGAGCATGGGTCGCATTTATCAATTTGCGGGACGTAGTCTGCGTTGATCAAACTCTTACAATCAGGGTTGTCACCACATTTCAGTATCTGGTAAGCAACCTCCATAACGAATTCGCGGAAACTTGGCATACTATCGTCGATTTTTTTATCAACGTCGTTTTGTGGCTGCTCCTCCAACTCTTCTCTTCCAGGAGCCGGGAATATTTTTAAATAAAATTTAAACTTCCATTGTTCACTTCTGGTTCCCAAATTGGCATGCACCAAGAAGCGGTAGTGTGGCAGCTGATTACGGACCATGTCGAACGCGCTTTGGTTTCGATGTCGCGTGAAGATATCGAACTTTTTATTGGACGCTTCATTCCTTTCCTCCAGAATCTCTCGGCAGTAGTACGACACTAACCTGGTGGATCAAGCATTTTTCGGATAACATATCATAAAAAATTCAATTTGGTAATTGGTTACAGTGATTAGTATAGTTCATAATAGGCAGCATGAACAGACAGAGTATAGGACTGGGGGTAACCATAATATATAAATAATCACCTTGTAAGTGGATGTTGCACTAGTGTTACGTCGAGGTAATCCACCGCCAATTTAACAGCTTTTCGGCTCTCCGTCTTGAATTTTTCCCACGAAGCTTCTCCAAGTTTGTCTTCGTCAGTAAACTCAGGTTCTAAACCGTTTATTTGTAGCAAAAACTTGAGCATCTCCTTCGATCCTGTCTGAAGAACAAAGCATAGGTGCATTGCAGGCAACATCGAGAATTAGAGCATTTCCAAGAAAGAGCCAATTTATGTAGGAACATAAGAAATATACTCAGGTCAAGTTTAATGGAATACTCAAGTGCATTATGCATCTTATTTTCAACTAATGTTCTTTTTATTTCTAGAATAAGGAAGTGTAATATCCATTTTTTAACATCCAAGTATAGCATCCAAATAAACAAAGCTAATTGCGTTCGAATTATGTTTTGTGCTCAGGAAAGTGAACATTTTTCTAACAAGTCCTCAAGTCCTCAAATATGTCAAATAAAAGCTCTCCTGATAAAGATTTCTAATACATTTTGGAGCTGGCAGTAGGCGAGCTCGTGCTCATTCGAAATCCTTATTTTAGAGTTGATCATCGGCATGCTTGCGACCTTGCGCGTCTCGCATGTCTGCTTGGCGTTCGCTAGCCGACGAGCTGCTTCGACAATATGTCTAGTTTCCTGGGGGGAAATGTAATTAAATTTAAACAATGTAAAGTGATTAAATTAATTGAAATTTTTACTGGCGTTTGCCGAATTGAAAAATAGAAAAGTAGCAACAAAAGAAGTGGAAATTGCTTGAAAGTTCCTGAGTACTCGAGTATTTTTTCCTGGGAAAATATAGGTTCAGAGTAGTACTCTATTTGTCATGATAGTAAACTTAAACAATCATGTTATTTAAGTTCAGAAACAATCATATTGAGCATGTTAAAGCTCGGGCTATTCAATAATATTCGCTCATAAACAGCAGTTTAGAACATGGAAATGATTCCTGCGATCGATTTTATAACGAAAAGTCTATGCAACTTTCAAGTTCTCTGAAAAAAAAATCATTAATCTGACAAAAAACTGATTTGAATTACTCACCTTGGTTTTTTCGAAAGCCTTGGGAAGAGAATGATTTTTCTGGATGATGTTTCTAAGTTCATCTCTGCAATTACAAAAGAAATTTACAATATCGTCAGGATCTTCGCCGAGTTCATCAATGTTACAAGGACCTCTCAGCATTCTTGTCTTGAGTCGAGAGTTATTTCCTCCATACTTGGGTCTCAACCACAGCCTTAAGATCAATGTAGAAATGCCAACCAGGATGAAGATTTTCGCAATGCGCTTGATAAAGAAAACTCGTGCCATATGCTTTCTGAATTGTGGACTCGATGTGGATGAGAAACTCATTTATAAGGAAAATTCCTCCACTAATTAAAATTTCTATTTAATACCTTTCAGTAATCGAAGGCTATAACATTTCAAATCAAGAGATGCGTCCATGTTTAAAAAATTGAACATATATGTATGGCAAACGGCTTGAGGGATAAAGCACTGTAGAAAAAAGTGTAAATGAATGTTATATGAAGTGCATAATTTGTATATTCTATACTTATTGTTCATGTTCTCTCATTTACATTTCACAGTTTTCCTGTCTGCCGAAGAGTAGAATTTGCTATAAATGTTCGGTCCTTTTGCGAAAACTCACTTTCCTCTCATAATCAATAAAATTTACACTGAACAACAGTATGTACATTAAAATTCATTAGTGCACAGCTATAAAAAAATTATCACGACAATATAAAGCTTTAAGTGAACGTGTACATAGGGCTGTTAATGTATCCATAGGGCTGTTTGCGAAATTTTTAGTCAAATAACTTCAAATGAATATTGACCAGCAGAGATTCCCTTATATCATCAATAGCATAAAAGTTATGAACAATTAACCTCGCACAAAAAAATACAAGACTGCGAGGTCCGTGACTACTGCTAGTTTGGATTCAGACTGCACAGTGAACCTCTAAAGTTTCATTAGATATAATATTAAAAATTTCCACGATTCACAGGTGTTCATTGCTCTGATAAGAGTGTCAGTTCGAGTCATTTTATGGCCCTATCTCTGGTCTTCAAACTGATAAAAATTCATTTTAAAATCATACATGAGTTCATCATTGAAATTGGTTTCTCGTTTCCGACGTTACACGTAAATTTTAATTAAAATACCATTAATTTCTAATGATTATTTGGAATGATTAGATGCTGAATATTGAATATTTATTGAGAACGGGACAATGAAGGGTCTAATCAAGAAATTATTGCATAATCAAATGAAGTAATTCACGCGATTCCTATAACACGTGGCAGATAAAATATGAGCTCATAACATCACAAGTCGTTCATTAATAAAAATTAACATCTTCAGAATGCACTAATAAAGTAACTTGTAAATAAAATGAATTGGTTTTGCAAACAGAACTGTTCAAAACTGTCAGAAATCTGTGAATGACCTCAAGTCGACTTATTTTAAATGGGCATTTTTTCGTATGTTGTGCTTGAAAATGGAAGTAAAAAGTGTTTTTATTTAAAATTATAACATTTTGCATAATAAAAATCATTACGGTGCGTGATATTGACAATTGACCGTCATTGAGTCAAATGAGCTATGAAATAATCTATCACATGAGAACCCGTATACGTGATTTTTCAGAAATACTTAATCATGAAAGTTTCATGCGTATTCGGTTGCAAATGTCCGTAGGAACAAAAATCTGGATTTTTACTTTTATTAGGAAAGAGATTCGGTTGAAATTAAAATGACTTGATGATTTTTAGAAGATGTAAGCAAAAATTTTGGAATTTCTCTATAAGATGAAAAATGGGAAATTTTTAAATATGAAATCAACAGAAATTGAATCATCTGAAAATAAAATGAAAACATGTTCACGAAACTGAATTAAAAATTTCGTTTCGAAATTTTGGTAGTTTTATGCATAGATGATAACATGATTATGTGTAGATCAGCAAATAAATTGAAAACTTTCTAGTAAAAATTTGTTGATAACATTCGCACACTTCATTGTTCGTTAGAAATTGTGATCCAATTTTATTTTTTCAAGCTTCTCATAAAGCTCGCCTTCAACATTTGAACTTTTAGGTCTTTGAGTTCAAATCGAACTAATCACCCAAAATTAAATTATTTCATATTTTGATTCCCCCATTTTCTCCGGATAACATTATCTATTTGATAACCGCATTACCTATACTGATCAATTATTATTTGAGTACCTTTTAGTAGATATAATTGATCTATAATAATAAAATTCCTATACTAAGTATAATCACGAGCGCCATTTTGCGATCAAAGAACAGACAAACAATGTAACGTGTGTAAACAAATTCTATTCTGAGAGAGATAAATAAATATTCAATTGAGATGAAATTATTATCAAAAGGTTAACAGATTCACATTCGGTGTTCTTAGTATGCCACTGTTATATAATTGGAACCTCTAACGAAATTGCAGAATAAGGGTTTGTACTCATCCGACTCCCCGAATTTCCATAGTTCGTGTTATCTTCACTGATCGAAGATCAGCTGCGCCACATGCACTCAGGAAAATCAACGGGTATATTGTCCCAACGATGACGCAATTTCTTACACACAGCACGGGCTGAGAGCGAACACCATTATGCCATGCTAATCTCAGTACTCACTGCAGTTAGTGACAGAGAGCGCATTTTCTCGTCGATGAAAACGTGAAGTTACGGGCAGACAGACGGACGGACGGACATGACGAGCACAATATGGCATTTTTTCCATATATGAGAAAATGCGCTTAAAAGTGATTAAAAATTTGGACAAAGCCAAATTCATTTTCCTGAGTGATGGTGAGTTTGTATACCTATAACAAACTATCGCTTATTTAAGGAGTGTAAGGTTGCCAAGGAATAGCGGCACATAAATGGTGTCAGTTTAAGTCAGTTTTACAGCGGGGAGTCAAACTGTCAGCGAGAATGTTGATCTGATTTGGTTTTGTCGCATGACCAGTTTCGAAGGCTTTAAAACTATAAGATGAAACCAAAAGAATAAAGTAAAATTAACCTAAATGGTTACAAATGACGAAGGGATATCTGATGTCACGTTAAGGTTGGTAAGAGGTTGGTTTAACAAAAAAAATAAAATTAAAAAACATTGTTTAGTTAAGAATTTGAATGTCCATGAAACAAAGAATTTCCTTGCGCGAGAAGAATTTTTCAATATGTCACATATAATTCTGATTTATTTACAAATTGAAAGGCTCGTAGCCAAAGACTTCAAAGTCCTCGTAGTAGGCGGTGTAGATCAGGTCGAGTTCTTCACTGTTGAGCTGCCGCATGTATTCATCATAAGATCTACACGCAGATATCTTCCTGTGAACAACTCGCTCTTCGTTGGTACTGCTGCTGCCTGAGTCATCTACGGCCTTAGGCTTGTTGTGGCCTAACAGCTTTCGGAGCAGAGGGAAATCTTCGTCGATCGTCTCTAACTGCGAAAAAAAAACTTTGTAGGATATTTAAATTGAAAAGACGACAATAACTGTGTACGGTTTTCGTGCACATTTCTCCTTTTAACGCTGCCATCCACTTGGCAAGTTCTATTTAAAAATTATTTATTTTATTATTATTAGTCTATTATTAGCCTATTTATGTTATACCTACAACATTTTTATTCCAGGGATGGTAACAAATTTGAATCAATGAATTCATAATTCAAATTTAAAGATTTACGTCAAAATTCTAAAAGAAATTAGTAACAGAATGGCACACTTACCTTCATTAGTAGATCAAAATTCCATGAGCATGGGTCGCATTTATCAATTTGTCGTCCATAGCTCGCATTAATTTCCTTCCTGCAGTCCTGATTGTCTCCGCATCGCAGAATTTGGTATGCGACCTCCATGACGAAGTCTCGGAATGTCGGAGTTTCACCTAAAGGTTCTGGGTCTTCGATCCTTGATTCCCGAGCCAGATACTCTTCCTTGCCGGGAGCTGGGATAATTTTCAGGAAAAACTGGAATCTCCACTGATCCGTTTTTGTCCCCTTCTTGGCATCGGACAAGAAGCGGTAGCTCGGGAGTTGTTCTCGCACCATGTCTTCCGCAGTTTGGTTCCGATGACTACGGAACTCGGTGAACTTTTTCAGAAAAGGCGGACGTTCTCCGAGAATCTTGTCGCAGTAACACGATACCAACCTTTAGGAGATAAGGCGAAGCTAAATTATTCAAACAAATAGTATAAAGTTTTACAGACACTTTGTAGAGCGTTTAGAGGCTCCGGCCTGTCTGGAGTGACATGTAAACAGCCTCTAAAACAGAAAAACCAAAAGTAATATATAATCGGGTGCTACAGTAAGCTTCACGCGTAAAGCAAATAAGTTTTTCGAAATTTCAATTGATGTTCATGCAGGTGTCACATATTAGACGTTGAAAATTCGAGGAACATGAGGATAGGAAAGCTCGAAATTTTCAAATTTCGTCAAGGCCAAGTACACCTGTCAATGGCAAGTACACCTGTCAAAGGAAACGATCACCTGGCACGGAGCTCACAAATTATTGATTTGCCTAAATCTTCCCTTGAAGCCGTGATGAATTACCTGTACATGTTCTAGGTGCAGCACAATAGCAAACAATTCCAAAGCAGAGTCATGAATTTTGCAGACACATAGAATATACGTGCAGAGATTAAACCGATTAAATATTGACAATAACGAACGGATTGAAATTTAAAATTACGAAGTCATTATACAGCATGCATGGTCGCTTGATTTATAGGGAATAATCAAGAATTAATCTCAATATAATATGAAGAGGTAATTATTAATCAATATAATTAATTTACTTTATTGGTTTCCTGCTTACCTGGTGAACGGGTGACGCACTTGCACGATGTCGAGGTATTTTTCCGCCATGTCGACGGCTTCCTGGCCTATCACTTTGAAATTATCCAATGATGTCTGATGCAAGTCGTCGTTACGGGGGTACAAGGTCTCCATGTTGTTGATCTCCATGAGGAATGTTAGCATCGTGCTTGATCCAGTCTGCCAACAAGAAAAAAGAATTTTGCATTGTTAATTGCACGGCAAATATAAAGGAAAATTTGGTGTTTAGATGGTTTTAGAAACGTTAAAAAAATATTTTAGTAAGCTGACCTTCTCAAGCTGGCAGTAGGCAAGTTCGTGTGGTTTTGAGACCCGGATCCAGGAGTCGATCATGGGCATGCTTGCAACCTTTCTATTGTTACACTTTTGCTTGACGTTCACCAACCGGCGAACTCTTTCCACCATCAGTCTTCCTTCCTGAAAAGTGATATTATTTTTTAATTATTCAAATTAGGAGAATGTAAAATGTGAAAGTTCTGGTTACCAACGTCACACAAAATACTCCTAAGAAAGGAGTTGGAGCTATAGTAAAGTTTGACATTAGCAGTATGGGATTTTGACTACAACGTTTTTTTGTAGAGAAATGCTTAGTGGGAACAAATAAGTTTGCTCAAGGGATGATCGAAAAGAAAGTTTTGATCTAGTATCCTAATATCACTTTTGTTTTTAGTTAAAAAAAGAGGGCTAACGTTGGCACTTCATATCTTTTATACTCATGGAAAGAAATTTGAACCTTGAGTGATCTACGTACTACAATTCATGACATTTTCTAAGACTAAGTAGCTCAGTATAGACAGTTTTTTCGTTTCTCATATACTAACGTCAGTTTCTTCAAAGGCACTGGGAACAGGCAGGTTTTTCTCCATGATGGTTCTGAGATCGTCCCTGCAGTTCCTATAGACAGCGACAAGTTTCTTAGGATCGTCTTCATAAGCTTCTAGATTGCAGGGCCCGCCAGCCATTCTCTTCTGCCGCATAATGACATCGCCGGACTCGATACCGTAGAATTCATCCTCAAACTGTGAATCACTCTGACGTCGCAGGACAAACATGACGATCGTGAGCGATATTGTAAATATTATTATGCGTCGTGGAGAAAGACGGAATATCATGATTTCACTTATATTGAAATGGAGTTTAAACTAAACACAAAATTATTCGAATAATAATTGCGCAGGTTTATACGCAGGTTGGAAGGAAAAATCACTGCACTAGCGATGTTATGCCTGCAGGACAAAAAAAAAAAACGAAACATTTATGTACAAGACATGATTAAACGCTGATCTCTGACTTGAACATAAACTTCACAACAATATAGACAATCTAATTTTAAAAAGCTAGGGAGGTTGAGTTTTATTCACATTTCATTTCATTTCTACGTCACCTCAAAAGAAAAAAAATAAGCGAAATTAAGTAGTTAAATCACTCTAAAGTTTGCCTATATATTCAAAGACATGACAATTATTAAACAACATTTGAAGCATAAATTTATATTTCAATTTTTCCAATAAACCCGTGAGCTCTGCATCACAAGCAGCCGAACACCACAACCTGTAACACGCGACTGCTTCATTTTACGGATGGATGTCGCTGTGGCATTTATTAAATTTTAACGCTGGCTGGAGAATTAGTTTCACACTAGGCCAGGTGTAAGTTTTATCTCTCACTCGTCACTTGGTTGATAAAACCTATCAGTCTGTACGATTGCGTCGTCTATGGAAATGAGTCGCACGTGTGGGCTTTGACGTTAACTGGAAATGTTGCAATTTAATATTCGGTTATGTTTTGGGATTTTTCAATTACTTTTAATCCTTTTATTTACTTTTTAAAGTAAATCGCCACTTAAAATCCTGAGGCAATGTGCGAATATGATCTTTATAGGAATCCTCGTTCATGTTGAAGCTAAACACTACGAATATTACTGTAAAATGTGATAAATTTTAAGTATTAGCAATTTGGAATTAGAAATGTCACAAAAGAAAAATCCCCAGGTCTCCTATATTCGAACATTATATACGGGAATGTTATTGCCACGGGGGACCAACCTATTCATCGAAAAACTAAACTATATTTTAAAGTCGATCGCAATTGATAGGGACAAATTTTCACAAAAGGTAGTTCGGAAAATTAAATTCGGAGCAAATTCAACGATTGAATTTCTGTAATCTCGTCCTTGATTTTTGGTCGTAAACCATGAAAAACAAAGTTTGAAATTTCTGTGCCAGAATTCAAGGCTATAGCCTGTGGGAGATCACAAAATTCAGAAGCCTTCAAAATTCATCAAATTAATTTATCCACAGAGCAGTTATAAAATTATACAATCAGTGATATAAAGCTTTTCTAGCATGGATTTGTTCCGTATAATTTATAGTACTCATCAAACCACAAAACATCAATTAATGAAAAATCCACGTACAAAAAATTTAGACGTAAAATAAATCCACGTACAGTGGGTTTGTTAACAAACATTATATAAAGCTTTTCTAGCATGGATTTGTTCCGTATAATTTATAGTACTTATCAAACCACAAAACATCAATTAATGAAAAATCCACGTACAAAAAATTTAGACGTAAAATAAATCCACGTACAGTGGGTTTGTTAACAAACATTGTCGGCAGGTTTTTAATTTTCTTCCTTCGACAAATGATCTTATTTCATTCAGACAAAGGATTTGGTCACATTATGCAAATAAAGACACTTTCTGCACGTAGTACCGATACGCACATGCAAAAAGTGCATTGCTATTCGGACAAATCTCACTGATTTTTCTGATTGTTCAGTCAATTAAGTTTCTAATCCAAAGCCACAGAAATTGTCAGTCGATTCGTGTGATAAATGCCTGCTGGCTCTAAAATCAATGCTCGTTGGTAATAAGCTATCATTTCTGTTCACTCTAATGATTTATATTATTCGTATATGCGACAAATTTATTTTACAAATCAAGACAACACAGGTATTGAATAGGCAGAAGCTCGATAACATATGGAAACTATCAGTGTATAATTCCAACACCGGGTTAATTTTTTTTGATAAAAAAGTGTTATAGGCTTTTTTTGACTGTATATGCATGCACAGACATTAATGCAAATAGGCACCGATTTAGTTTTGAAATTGTCTGCATGCATGATTATTGTGACAGCTGTGTTCGCAGATTCATGCATTGCTTATGAATTACATGTTCTCTTATTTATACTCGTAGTTGTGCAAGGTTAATAAAGTTATAAGATATATATATTATTATAGAAGATCACTTCTGAATATCAGTTCAACCATAAAATATTTTCCTCTCCACGAGAGGCAGGTTGAATGTAAAGCAAAATGTTGACCTAAATTACATCGTAGCAACATTAATTGTGAACTGAAGAACTCAGAAATGTTATTAGAAGATCAAATATCTATTCGGGATATGGATAGGAAATTATTTGCTCATCGAACAAAAATTTTATTTTATTTAAAGCATTAACAACATTTTTGCATAAGTGCCGTCACATCTTGTGCTTCCGGCCGCCTCGAAACTTTTAATGCGAATACTGCAGAAGCCCCCAGGCCCAACGGTCATCCTTGCGGTTGTCCTGTGGCTTTAAGTCCACCCAGCGTGGACACCAGGAAAAGAAGAAGAATTTTAATGAGAATATTTCGTGAATTTAAAATCGCAGAGCCAGCGCAGGTGTTCAGTGGCCGAGCTTTTCCATGTTGCAACGTTCCTCTCATCTCCCTCGACTCTTCTCGAACCTTCAGCACCAGTTTTAAATTGTTTTGCATTTGAATTATTTTCATGATTTATTTTCATTATTTACTAGTCAGATACTTGAATAAATAAATCAGCATTGTATTCGGCAACGAACTACAAGCAACGACATATTTGGTAACGGCAAATGTTTAGAGACATTGTTAACAACACTCTTAGCTAATTTAGTGTCTCTTAGCTAATTTATGCGGATTACATTCTGGCTGTCTTGGATTATTGAAATTATATCGAGTCGACCTAACCTGCACCCATTTTAGGTCAATACAGGAATTACACATTTCTGGCGTTGCAATTAAAGCTTTAAACTATTCTAACTACTCTAGAACTTGCGCTTTGGATGTTGCAGTCCATGATGTTGGAACCAAATAATGTTAAAAATGTTAATACCAGATAACGTTATAAATGTTAATAACCTCTACTCAAAATCGGAAAATGTTGAGTGAAAAATTTTTTCGCATAGAACAACTATTTCAAAAGCCCACATTACAAAACGATGGATACATGATAAGTGAAAATTAAGATATTTTCTTTGTACCCTCAAAACTGCGAATTTTTTTCCTACCAACGTTGTTAAATAATTTAATTATAAAAAAATAATAACAATATTGACATTAAACCAATGTATTTATAATTTATATCCCGATCAATGCTTGGAAACCTGGTACAGCTAATATGAAGTTGGAAATTTGAAATATATAACAAATGAAGGAGAGCTCGAAAAAAATTCTGGAATAATAACCACCTTCAGTATTGGTAACATTAGATTTATACGGAGTTATATTGTATCCATTTACGATTGTTGAATACAAGTCATTTTTACGGAAAAAAATGAATGTAAAACAACATTTACTATAAACTTTCAACTTGTATCCAAATTGAAGCCAGATAATTTCTCTGCAAAAAATTAATCATTTTTCGACGTTTCAACAAAATTTTGACACTTTCTTATGAAAAATCTGTAAGTACAATTAATTGTGAACTTGTAAATTTGGCTTTATCATGCACAAATCACTAGCGGTAATAAAGCATATTCTTATCAAGGTAGTAAATCATTCAGCATGTTCTACGTAGAAAATGTAAAAAATTAGTAGCAGTCCGATGCAACTGAATTGCGTAGGGACGAATACCTCACAGAGCATCCAGTTCTATTGCACCACAGGTAATGACGATGAAATAGCGTTTAATCCAAGTCTATTATTTGAAATAACTGGTAATTTATCTTTGATACAACGTCACATGTCCGGAGGGCCACAAACTGTTGTGATTACAATTTTCTATGCATATTGGAACGTAAGCTAATTAATCCAATAAACTTCTTCGACTGATCAGACGCTCATACGAGTATCTATATAGTATATGTAGATACAGACGTGATGAAGCAGTCGTTTGTCGCTGTCGTGCGCCCGAACCAAGAGTTTGGAAACACCGTGTGGTCACCAAAACTTGAAAAGGACATACATTTTGTAGAGAGTGTTCAAAGTCGTGCAAAAACTGAAAAAGGATAATACCAGGTTTGCTGGGCAAGTCTTACGAAGAAAGATTATGCAGCTTCCAAGCCTCTGTTATCGACGTCTGCGTGGTGACCTCATCGAAGTACACCGGATCGACCTACGGCCATATAAACGCTAAAACCGCTATAGATAACAATCAAGGTTCACTCTATACAATAATAATTTTAAAAGTCGATCCTAAATTTTAGTTAAATGGTAAAAACTGCTTTTTCTCTTTTTATTATAGCATAAACGACAGATATATGCTGGCTAATTTTTTATAATTTTTATTTTCTACATATCTCTACTATGCTTCAACAGCTTGAAAAAATACCACAAACAAATTTCCATTTTATAAATTAGCAAGGTTCATTGCGGTTCTGAATGAATCAATTGTTAAAAATTGTATAGGTAAGCATGATGCCACATGCGAAAATTTTCATAACAAGTGTTGTAGCAAATTTAAATCAATCAGCTGAGATCAGGTGATTTTTGAGAAATGTCTGTTCATTGGGTTGATTTAGACCACTAGCGAGCTGCGTTAGAAACTCTCAGCACTGAGCTTACTCAACGATTGGCTGATCAGAAAGTAAACATGCTTGTGTTCATACGACGAGGTCACTTGAACTGACACGAGACCAGTCTGGATTAAGACAGTGATTGTTTTTACTGTGCCCGCTCGTTTGCCTGACATTGTAGTGATTGTACTTCGTTTTTCAGTAAGTTCCGTGACTTCCGTCTTCATTGATGACATTTTTTTGTTGAATATTCTTGTGATACTTGACTGCTATTCGAAAAATTCTAAACAAATAGTATGTTATTTTGTATGATTTAGTATTTAAGACGTCAAATATTGAAGTATATTTATTCACAGGTGGTCAGCTTGAAAGACTCTTTTCTAAGATATAAGTTCAAGGCCAAATAATTTTTTTATGATTCTGAGCTAAAACTGTCAATTTAGTTTCAAATATCATTTAGTATGTAACTCAGTTTTATGAGATGTGAGAAACAGAATTTTTTTATAAATGGCAACATGACCTTCTGAAGTTGAACAAATTTTTGTGGAATATAGGGCTATCTTAGTATCTATGTTTTGAGCCAGTACCAGAGCTTTATTATTAATATATTTGAGTGTGCAAATTCCCAAAAGAATAATGATCTCTCATCTATTCAATCATTTGTTGATAAAATTGCATAATTGGGGTGCAAAATTTAAAATTTATCCCTTAGGTTAGGGGCTGCAAAATTTTCAAAATAATTTGAAAAATTTTAATCTTGACTGCTTACTGTTTTGGGTGCAATCTGGAATATCAGACAAAATTTTCCTAAAATTGTAAGTAGAAACTATCAGTTCTAAAATTATTTTAAATAATTGCAGGTAAAAATGGGTTTTTAGGTTTGTAGAAAAACTTTTTAAAAGCCATAAAAATGTCCAGAATACACAGAAAGCACCATTTTTTGTTGCATTCACCAGTGACTTCTGCCCAACAAACTTTCTCATATGATATAGCTATAGGGCCTAGGGGTACCTAAGATTGCATTCTGTCCAGTGTCCACATCAGGAAGATATGACATTTAGCTGTAACTTGTAATAGAATTTTTAGTGCTAATCAGGCCTTATCAGTTATCATCACACTTTGATCTATATAGCTATTATAACTTGTTTACATTTAGCTGTAACTTGTAATAGAATTTTTCAGTGCTAATCAGGCCTTATCAGTTATCATCACACTTTGATCTATATAGCTATTATAACTTGTTAAATCATATGTACATTGGGAAGAATTTTAAGATGTACTACCTATTCGAAATAGTGGCATGTAAGAGACCTGGTTTTTATAATGATTGTTAACAAATTTTTCTGTGTAGCTTTCTAACTATCATAAGTAAACTAATTTTCATGACAATATTGACAAATTTGCCTATATTTAGGGCACTATTATCTGTCATTTTGTGTCCATTTAGTTAAGATTTAATTCTCCAGTTTAGTTTAATGCTCGTTCATTGTAATTGTGAAATTATTGGTTATTAATTTTATAGTATTAAACAAATTAAATCACATGTTTGCTAACAAGGTTCTTACAGTTCTAAGTACCTTTGCAGTAAATTTTAGTTTATTGATTAATAGTGCAAAGCTATGCTGTGTAACTTGCATTGATCGAAATCCACATAAATTAAATATGAAGAATTTTAATGGCTTAATATCAACATGTACCTGTATATTACAAATATATTGTCTTTCAAACTGTTGTTAGTTTAAAAGTTAAACAATAAAATTCAAAGTGCCGTAAGGGAGTCCTATAGCCTAATGGTGCCATATGGAGCCCAATTTCTCTGTGATTTTAATCACTGATGAGTGAAATGCTGCATTTCACAATGATATTGATATTTTTTGTCTAATTAGTATTTGTGTGCAGCAGGAGTGCAGGTTTAGGACTATTAAGCTGCAATGGCGGCTTCAATCTTCCGTAGTGAAGAGATGAGTCTCTGCCAACTCTTCCTGTCCAGTGAAGCTTCCTACAACTGTGTTGCCGAGCTTGGTGAGCTTGGCCAAGTGCAATTCAGAGATGTGAGTTCCCAGTTATGGCATCACAAATAGATCTATGTTAGGAATTTCACAGAGAAACTTAATAATTTCTTCACATTCATTATTATGTTAGTAAATCAAGATGTTAAAAGGTATGAATCTCTAAAATTATGGACAAATAAAAAATAAATTTTTATAGAATTTTTGAAAATTTGAACTGCAAATTTAAACTGTAAAGGTGATCTGTAGTAACAATTGATTAACTTTCTGAATTCAGAGTGCGAAAAAATTGAGGTTAAAATCAAATGAATCAGCTGTGTTAAATATTTTTTTCTTTAAATAGTATATGATGATTTGTTTATTGCATGAAGATAAAAGAAATGTTTGCATTATTGCTGAGAACAATTAATTTTGTGATAATATCTCTGAAACAAAGGCCAAGAAGTATCTGAAATAGTGTGCATTGCCTTGAACATAGGTGTTATGAGCTGCATTGGCAGGTAGCAGAACAATTACCTATAACTTTTCAGCAATTTTTCCATATATTTATATTTAATATAGATAGATGTTTTCAATTACAATTTCTATGATAAGGATTTCACACTTCTTTATAGTATACATAAATACTAACTTTTTCAAAAAAAAGATGATTTTGAGGTCAGTATCTCAAGATACATTAAAGTTTATAATTAATGTAAAGTTCCTCAAGTTTTCAAAATATATGCAATGATTGTATGAATAAATTTTTTCCAGCTAAATCATGAAGTTAATCAGTTCCAACGAAAGTTTGTGAATGAAGTGCGGCGTTGCGATGAAATGGAACGTATTCTTCATTACCTGGAAGTGCAGATCAAGAATGCTGATATTCCTATTGCTGATGATGGGGATAATCCTGAAGCTCCTCAGCCTAAGGAAATGGTCAATCTGGAGGTCAGTGTGTCATGGTTACAAAATGCTTGCATATAGAAGTTTTCTTGTGATTTTCTATGCTAAAATTGTTACTGGATTCCCATTTTATCTTAGTACGTAAGTGCTGAAATATTTAACAAAATATTTATGTACAATTTTATGAGAAAATGTTTAGGCATATATGCTTTCACAATCACTGAAACCCATTGCCTAGCTAGTAACAAGTGTTTAGATGACAAATGGTCAAAACTTGAAATTCTGATATTTTTTGTTCATGCACTAGGTATTATTTACAGTAGAATGTTCAAACACCATACTTAAAATAGCCTTCACCATTCATTTTTATGTTTTCTGACAGTGTAAAATTTTTATAATGGTTTACTTATAATAACAACTTGGACCATTGACTGATTGACTTGGACCATTTTTAGTGCTTACCTTTTTGTGATACAAATGTCCAAACTGTTAATACCTATATAACATATATCTCTTTATCGTATTTGTAGGTTATCACATTCTCATGTTATTTCAAGAGCCATCAATACAATTTTTCTAAGGCTAGAACTTTTTGAGTGTAGGGTTGTTTTTTTCTTGAATGTCATAACAGTCCAAGTTACCCCATCAATGGTCCAAGTCACTTCATTTTACAGTCCATTTTATTGCAACACTTAATTTCAATTATGCAGTTTATTCCTTCTAAATATACATAGGTATATATTATAACTTAAGTCCCTGATCATTGATGCTATCTTCCTTGATCTGGATTCTGAGCTTCTGGTCCTGAAAATACGATCCTTCCATAAAAAAATTTCTGCAATAGAAGAGAGTTGTTAAGGTAACATGTGCTTATAGTAATGTGCTTCAACAGCTTCTTACATGTTATCTTGTAGGCCACCTTTGAAAAGCTGGAAAACGAGCTACGTGAAGTGAACTCCAATGCAGAGGCTTTGGACCGCAACTTCTTGGAGCTCACCGAGCTCAAGCATGTCTTGGAGAGTGCCAAGATCTTCCTTACTCATGTAAGTTAACTTGCTTGTAGTGCTATATTATTCCAGTAAAATAACTACCATATATCTCAAGGGGTACTGTAATCACATTCTTTCTGATCAATTAGTATCACTCTAGAAAAATGATTCAAATGGAAGAAAATATCAGTTTATTTATGTATGTGTTAGTCAATACATCACTTTGTGTGTTCAGGGAGAAGTCGTGTATTGGTCAAGTTGTGATCTTTTTTCTTTTGTGGTATCACAGAAATTACCTTGGTTGTAGCCTTGCTACAATATTTCAAATATCCTTTACAGTTGCTTCTTTAACACACTTTTAGTATTTTCCAAGATATTCTGTGTGATTTTCAAAATTCTATTATATATGATACAAGTTTACTTCATGTATTGTTGATAAACTATTTCATAATATGTTGAACAAAAATAATTTGTTCTCTGTATTCTTGCTGCTTTTAGTGAAGGTTGTACGGTAAGTGAAATTTTTCAGGCAGAAAAGGATATTATGTTGCTAAAAATTTTGACATGTGTGCAAAAAGAATATTCATTGCATGTACCTATAAAAAGTTAGAATGATATTGTTAGGGGCACTATTCAATAGAATATATGGATATTCGTCAAATTTTAGCCTTGAGATATAGACAGAAATGTTCTTTGTTATGGTGTTGAATGAGCTATGTATGGACAGTTGAATTTTTGACGTAGCTTTAGTGGAAATGTTTAAATTTACATCAAAAGCAATGGAAATGGATTAAAGTACGTAGTAGACATTTAATTTTCAAACAATTTATTGTTTTGTTGGCTACTGTATTTGAATTACAGTACTGCTACTGCATTTTTAATTTAATTGCAACTCTAAGATAAGCGATGACTTAATAGTGATATTTTGACAGTGTTCTCCCAGATCATAGTTAGGATTAGTAAATGATTGTTAAAATTAATTTCAAACAACCCTCATCTCGCACTGTAGCACGTACACCAAGAAAAATGAGTCAGAATTTGTCCAAATAGCGATGCACTTTATGCCATTATAAACACATCCTGTTTCTATTTGGGCTGGTAAATTCGAATATCAATATTTTGTGCAGAAAATATCAATAATTGGAATTTATAATCCATTAATATTTCCTAGTGTTAAGATTGAACTGCTAGTCATGCATTCTTCCGCCTTTTTAAGCATTTCTTTAACCGTGATAGAGCGATTAAATCAAGCTAAACTGTTCATTTTATCAATTTATAGTTATTTCTCAGGTATTTAAATTGTAATATATATAAAGATTAAAGATTTTAAATGAACGTTAAGTAGAATTGGTATTCATGAGTCATTGAAGAATGAATTGACCAGTAATTCATTGACAACAAATTCTGACTTGTGCCAGGAGAGTGACCCGACTGCCAGCCTGTCGCAGAGCCTCATCGCTACTGACGAGGGCAAGAACGAGCCTCAGCAACTCGGGTGAGTGCCATTTATCTTCAATTTAAATCAATTTGAATTGCACTTGAATTTTATGTACCTAGTAAAAATTTTTGCTCAAGCAAATTTTCGAGATAATATGTAATAAAATCTAATTGATGATTTCAGAGAACCTTTGAGAAATCAGTTTTATTTTTCTCTCCTGAAGATAATTAGAAAAAAACTTGCCTCTTGTTTATATTCAGTTTAACAATTAATTTCATTTTTAACAAGTTATTTGTTTTGATTTCTGAAATGTTAGCTTGCAGTTGCAAACTCTTAGATTTGCAAAAGTTGTGGGGTGTATAATGAAGACAGGCTTATTTCTCTATGGAAATCTTCATCTGTGACTATTCTTTTGCAGTTGTCAAGGTGATTAAATCAACACGAGTGGTTTAATTTTTCGTGAAGCTTCTTAGCCGGAGATATTGCTTGAACCAAGATGTTACAATAACCTCCTACATTATTATATTGTAATGTCTGATGTCTCAATTTCATAAGACCGACTTTATGGCTTGAAATTAAATTTTAATACAATCAAACTTAAATGTTTGCATAGTTTTGTGTTAAATTTGTTATTGCTCATTAATTTGCTTTTAAAAGATCGAGTCGGTTGAGTGGGCAGGCCTGTTTAGTGAGATATCACTGAGTTTACCTGAATTGTTCTGTTTTATTACCCTGTTTCAACCTTACTATACCCTGTTCTAACCTGATTTTACCTTGTTCCAACCTGATTTTACTTTGTTCTAACCTTACTATACCCTGTTTCAACCTGATTTTACCTTGTTCTAACCTAACTATGCTCTTGTTCAATCCCGATTTTCTTGTTTTACCCTGTTTTTACCCTACAGTTTCTTGGCTGGTGTGATACCCCGCGAGAAGCTGGCTATGTTCGAGCGCATGCTGTGGCGCGTCACGCGCGGTAACGCCTTGTTCAAGAACCATGATATTGAGACCGAACTCAAGGATCCTATCACCGTGAGATCTACACAATATTATAAGCATTAAATAATCGATATTTCTGAACTCCCGTTGAAAATGGTCCTTTCCAAATCTGTTTATTTCTATATTGCACATAAATATAATTTTTGTAGCGCCAATTTTATTTATAAAAAAATTATCATAACCTTAAATGGTTCTGATAATGAAATAGGCCCTAATATAATTAGTCATCATGATATCTTTTTATTTTATCTCTGAATAAAATGTCTTGATTGCAAATTTACAAAATTTATTGTTTGGTTCAGGACACACAATCACAATCACTAACACTTATTTTAAATGCTTAGCTTGAGTGCTCATTGATCGAATTAGCGCCATTCAATTATATCTACCTTAGCCATGCCAAGTGTCAGAAGATGTAAAATATGTGTTAGTGGTCGTGCTCCATTTCTGCATACCTTGCTTCAAGCTATAATAATACCTATTCTTTGCGAGTCTATATTTCGAAATTCATTTTATACATCATTACTTAGTCTTTCATTAATTCACAACACTATAGATGATCATGTAGCTGGAAGTTTGGTTTTATGAGTTTTTACAATTTCATATATGCAGGTTTAGCTAAGTTACTTATATTCTCTATGCGACTTTATAAAAAATTATAACGCACACGTTTTGATTGCCACAATTGGTATGCAGCCTGCACAAGAATTCTAAAGCCTACGTTTTGATTACAAAATTTTCATGTAGTGTGTACAATAATTTTTAATTGATAAGTTTTGATTGCAGGGCCACATGGTGCGTAAGTGCGTGTACCTGATCTTCTTCCAAGGGGAGAAGCTCAAGATGAAAGTAAAGAAGATCTGCGAGGGCTGCCGCAGCACGCTGTACCCCTGCCCTGACACTGCCGCTGAGAGGGAAGAAATGCTCGCCGGCGTCAAGACCAGACTAGCCGACCTCAACACTGTACGATGGTGTTATTACCTTCACTTGTGTCATTACCTTCACTTGTGTCATTACCTTCACTTTTCATTACCTTCTCTAGTTCTTCAACATAATTACCATGTCAAGTTCTCTTACTTCATTACCTTCTTAAGTTCACATCATTACCTTATCAAGCTGTTGAGGCCTCAGATTTTGTAAAAGTGTTTTTTTTTTGTAACAATGAAACACTTACGGGATCCTATTCATCCTGACATAAATTGAACTGTATAAATTGTTATCCTGTAAATGAAATTTACAGGATTTACACGCTAAAATGAAATTTGAACTTGAATTTACCAAAGAATAATGCATTAAGTGTGTGATATCACGCCATTGAAATTCATTCCGTTATTAATTTTTCATTATTAAGAAATCATTGTAACTGTGACGTAGGATGTTACCTATTTCCTGACTGGTTGCAGGTTTTGTCACAAACGAGTGACCACAGGCAGCGAGTGTTGGTGGCGTCTGCAAAACATTTGCGTTCGTGGCTGATCAAAGTGCGCAAGATCAAGGCAATCTACCACGCACTCAACATGTTCAATGTGGACGTGACGAACAAGTGTCTCATTGGGGAGGGCTGGGTGCCTAATGACGATCTGGTCAGGGTTAAGGAAGCTCTCAGGGCCGGCACGGTGAGTACTCGAGTGCACTACTTCAGGATGAGAGCATCAATTACATTTGATGATGAATTGATGAGCACACTAACTGATAAGCGCACTCATTAATGAGCACACTAATTGATGAGCACACTAATTGATGAGCGCACTGATTGATGAGCACACCAATTGATGAGCACACTAATTGATGAGCACACTTAATTGATGAGCACACTAATTTATGAGCACACTAATTGATGAGCACACTGATTGATAAGCACACTGATTGATGGGCACACTAATTGATGAGCACATCAATTTCCATTCATGAGCTATGGGCCTCTGTTTCGGTCCCGCTCCCTGGACGTTTATCGTTTATTTTGACATCGATGTGCAAGTAGTATGTTTGTGTGCATCTATTTTAGTTTCTATAATGAAATATTTTAGCTTTATTAATTCCTCCTTCTTATGTTTTTGTAAGAGTTGACTATCTCAATTAATACTACTGAGTTTGATAATTTTGAGATTTCATTTCCTATAACTCTGAATGAACAAGAAATTAGGAAAGAATTGATAAATCTGGAATAATTTTTCGAGATCTATTCCTTACTTATGCTTTTTTAATATTTACGTGAAAACGAGAATGTATCACTAAAAACCTTATTTTTTGTGTGCTTTGTGCAACTTCCACTTCTACAATGAAAATATGAAAATAATTCAAACTAGAAGTTGCCTCCAGGGTTTGCCAAGTCCAATTTAGTAAATCATCAGCAAAAATTAACTACTGTTATGTCCATATTTAAAATTAAAAATTAATTTCAAATTTTCCGTTACTGAACAAATGCTTTCCTTCCAAGCTTTTTAAAAACATCCATTGTAAATCTCTTTGATTTTAGATCATAGAATAAGTAAAATTACTCTCTCTCAAAAATATTGTGAGCAATTTTGTATCTGTTATGTACGTTTATAAACAGTTTTTTTTTTTTGCAGGAGAAAAGCGGCACCAGCGTGGAGCCCATCCTGAACGTAATGGACACGACCATGGCGCCTCCAACCTACCATCGCACCAACAAGTTCACCTCCGGCTTCCAGACTCTGATTGAGGCTTACGGTGTCGCCACTTACCGTGAAGTTAATCCCGGTCTCTACACTTGCGCGACTTTTCCTTTCCTGTTCGCGGTCATGTTTGGGGATCTGGGACATGGCATCATTATGTTCCTTTCTGCGCTCTACATGGTGCTTAATGAGAAGAAACTTGCGCCTATTGTCAGGAATAGTGAGGTGAGCTTTCAGCAGTAACTATTACTTATTGATATTGCAATTCTTGTTGTCGATTATTTTAGGTTAAATTCATTGTTGTTATTAATTAGTCCAACATGTAAAATACGAGATCAAATTTAAGAGACTAAAATCACAGAGGCAAAAGAGACTTGGGCTTTATGGGAGTTTCACTGGATTTTAGTGAAACTCTCGTACAATTTTAACAATTTGTCCGCTTAATTCCTTATAAATTTCTAATATTTTAAGTAGCTTTTTGCCCCGATTTCTGCTTCTCTATCTAAAAAATGTAAATAAATTCACACACTTTACAGTTTTTATAACATTTTCTGCTCTTGTCCAGATCGCCCGTATGATCTTCGGTGGGCGCTACATCATCTTCATGATGGGATCGTTCTCGATGTACACGGGCTTCATCTACAACGACTTCTTCTCGAAGTCCGTAAACGTGTTCGGCTCTTCGTGGCACATCGGCGAGAACGCGACCCTGGGCGTCACGACCTACGGGGAGCACGAGTACATGCTGTCCCCTGACAACACTGAGGACTATGTGGGGTACCCCTACGCCATGGGCCTGGACCCGCTCTGGCAGGTGACTGTGTGGGCCTTGACCCGCTCTGGCAGGTGACTGTGTAGGCCTGGACCCGCTCTGACAGGTGACTGTGTGGGCCTGGACCCGCTCTGGCAGGTGACTGTGTGGGTCTGGACTCGCTCTGGCAGGTGACTGTGTGGGTCTAGATCTGCTCTGTCAGGTGACTGTGTGGGCCTAGATCCACTTTGGCAGGTGACTGTGTGGGCCTGGATCTGCTCTGGCAGGTGACTGTGAGGGCCTGGATCTGCTCTGGCAGGTGACTGTGTGGGCCTGGACCCGCTCTGGCAGGTGACTGTGTGGGCCTGGATCTGCTCTGGCAGGTGACTGTGTGGGTCTGGATCCGCTCTGTCAGGTGACTGTGTGGGTCTGGACCCGCTCTGACAGGTGACTGTGTGGGTCTGGACCCGCTCTGGCAGGTGACTGTGTGGGTCTATATCTGCTCTGGNAACATGGTCCTCAATAAAGAGGATCCGGTGAGTCAGGTCGTTTTGGTGCTGTCAGTTTATGCTGTCAACGAACAAGTTTGGTGATATCTCTGGCAGGTGACTGTGTGGGCCTGGACCCACTCTGCTGATTGCTATGTACCGTAGGTTTTAACTCACTCTGGTTTTTAATTTATAATCAATTTTTTAAAGTGTTTTCTTGATAACTTCGAGCTGATTCAGAGTCAGTTTCTTGTTCAGATCATAATTTCTCTTCGTCCTCTGAAGTTTCTACAATTGATTTCTCATCTAATGTTATGTCCTGCAACTTGGTTAAAAGATTTCACTTTTATTCTCTAGTATCTCTATTGTCTTCGTATTCTGCATTCTTTGTTTTTATTCCTTTGAATTCGACACGAAATTAATAAATTGACTTCTAAGGCTCGCGTGTTAAAGCTTGAGTTAACTTTGTTGAGGTTTTCAGATCTCGATCAACAAGATCAACTTCCAGAACAGCTACAAGATGAAAATCTCGATCATCATTGGCGTAATCCACATGATGTTTGGTGTCTGCCTCTCCATCATTAATCATTCGTGAGTGTTTCTAATCTGTGCCCTGGGGGTCTCTAACCTATTTGGCTTGGAAATTTATTCGCATTATATAGGCTTGAGTCTGACTACACAAACTGTCATATTTCTTGTGTACATTTTATATCCATTTTGTATGGCCAAAACTTTTAACAATATCTCATCGAAGTTATGGTTTGTTATCATCATTGCACTAGTGACTAGTTTAACAATTGTTAGCATCAGTATCATTGAATGCCGCTGACTTTCCTCCCTCAGGTTCAATTGAGTTTGATAACGTTTGATATTTTTTGCAGATACTTCCGGCGCTACGTGAACATCTACTGCGAGTTCATCCCGCAAGTGGTGTTCCTGATGTCACTGTTCGGGTACCTGTGCTTCCTGGTGTTCTTCAAGTGGTTCATGTACGGCGACGGCCCCAACTTCGATGAAGTTCACGGCTCTGCCTGTGCGCCCTCCGTGCTCATCACATTCATTAACATGGTCCTCAATAAAGAGGATCCGGTGAGTCAGGTCGTTTTGGTGCTGTCAGTTTATGCTGTCAACGAACAAGTTTGGTGATATCTCTGGCAGGTGACTGTGATATCTCAACAACAACAACAACAACAACAACATATCAGTTTTGTTCCCTGCTGTGAGGTTATGAATAAAGTTTAATAAACAGCGCCTGAGTTTGGTTGAAGATAGACTTCAAAATGGCAGATAAATAGTGTATCGACTTTGGTTTGTTCTGAAATAACAATTTTTATTCAGTATTTGTAAAACTGAGCCTTCAAGCCTAGTGTCGACAAATCGTTTTGTAGGTAGGCATGTTTAAGACTACCTAGTGATGTTTCCTATTGATAGTGGCCTTGATAGTAATTTCAATCCTTTTTCCTTTCCGCGTAATATATTCCACTTCTGTACCTGAAGCTTGTGTGGCTGAGGAATTTTTTCATATTGTGGAGTGAAATGGCGTTCAATGTGGAATTTTTCTACGATCGGTTCTCCCTTTGTTTTCAACATTCCCAACCAAGCTACGTGTCGACCAAGTTTATAAAAAAAAATTCTTTCGCAGCCGGCGGACCCGAAATGCGTGTCAGTGTACATGTTCTCGGGTCAGAAGTTGTTCCAGCAAGTGCTTGTGATTCTCGCCATCATCTCGGTGCCTATATTGCTGATCCCCAAGCCTTTCATCCTGAAGCACCAACACAAGAAGAAGATGAGCCGCCGTCCTCTCACGGAGGTCGTTGTGGATCACGATGAACAAGCGGTCAGTGACTAAGTACACGCACGCTTATATTCCTGTAGCATCCTGTTCCTTCAATTAGTGTTTCATTCATTCGCGTTTCCGATATTCAAGTAACAGTCACGCTGATGAATTGCTTAGAATAATGTACCATATACGCTGCTTTATCCCTTGTATGAATGTACCATTTCGCTTCACAGTTAAATTAACGTACAGTTTTCACTTCTGTATCATTTGAATTAATCTATAATTAAAACTTTTGTTTCTCGTTAATTAATGGGCGCTGCTTAGCGTCGACATTAATGCACCACCCACGCTGCTGTATCCCTGTGGCTGATGTGCACCTCCTGCAGGCGACTGGCGGCAGCACGACGTCGCTGGTGAGCAACAGCAAAGCCACGTCGGCGTCTCCTAAGGGGGGCGCGGCGCCCGCATCTGGGGGCGGCGGGCACGGTCACGGACACGGCGATGAGTTTGACTTCGGCGAGATCTTCATCCATCAGGGCATCCACACCATCGAGTACGTGCTGGGCTCCGTGTCGCACACGGCCTCATACCTTCGTCTCTGGGCGCTGTCCCTGGCCCACAACCAGCTCTCCGAGGTCCTCTGGAACATGGTGCTCAAGATCGGGCTCGTCAGTGTGAGTGCAGTCTAGCGCATTCGTGACTATGTCGATAATGGTGAAATATTATCGATATTGTTTAGAATGAAAGTTATTGTAATATTAGATATTGGACGGTTATATGTGTGATAAGACATACCGGTATATATAAAATTTCAGTGATGTAGCACAGATATCTCGTATCACTAATGGCTACTAGTGTTTCGTATTAATCAATGTTAGAGTGTATTACCAGAATGTAATATTTTTAAATGCGCGCTCCCGCCAAACGTCCTATATAAATTTTGATTCAAAGAAGTAATTTCCAACTAACCTTCGCCACTGCCGTGATGTGGTGCATTTTTAAAAAAATGAATGTATTTCCAAATCTTGCATATTCGTGGTGACGTATGTTTTTTCATTTTTTTTTCCGAACACGTAGTGAACATACCCTTTTTATCGCATTTTCTCATTTATGGAAAAAATGCACTATTGTGCTCGCCATGTCCGTCCGTCCGTCTGTCCGTGACCTCAAGTTTTCGTCGACGAGAAAATGCGCTCTCTGTCACTCACTGCAGTGAGTACTGAGTTATATTTTTTAACATCAATGTCGTGGTGCAGGACTCGACCGCAGGCAGCGTGATGGTGTTCGCTCTGTTCGCTGCGTGGGCCTTCCTGACAGTGTCCATCCTGGTCCTCATGGAGGGACTCTCCGCCTTCCTGCACACTCTCAGGCTTCACTGGTACATCATCGCTTTCTTTTATATTTTTGTATTACTCATTGATGTTTTTTATTCTATTTCTTATTGCTTTGTTCCATTCTATTAATTATTGCCTTGTTTCATTCATTAATTATTGCCTTGTTCTATTCTGTACCTTTTCCATGTGTTGTTTTCTCTTATTTATTTAACATGAGTTGGAAAAGCAACATGTTATTTAGTTGGTTAATTTTATAGGAGAAATATATCGAGAAGTTACTAAATGTAGATTGCAAAAGTATTAATTTTAGATTTTCCGAGATGAGAATTATTATTTTAGCTGTATTTTTCTGTTTTTCTTTTCTTGACAAAGCCGAAACAATGTTCTATATAAATTATTTGATTGCAAATATCCATAGTTATTTCTTAAGGTGAACAAGAAAGGCTCTAGAGGAGTTAGCATATCACTTGCTGACTATTTACTTGTACAGTGAGGGGCGAGGTTCATTTAGCATTTCGAATTTCCTTATTATATTTTTTAAGACTTACTTACCTGGATTTATCTTTGCGCAGGGTGGAATTCTGTTCGAAGTTCTATGCAGCAGAGGGATACATTTTTGAGCCCTTCACTTTCAAGAGCATTCTCAACCCCGACCCCAATGAGTAACTCCCGACAATGCTTCAACGGTTAAACCTCTTAATTACCTCCACATCAAACCATCCCAGTTTACAAACCCAAACCCAATTGTTTTAACTTTTACCCTTCAACTCTTTTGCCAGTATGGACTAAATCCGTTGCCCACATCTATAATAACCCAAAATTTCATTTGTTAGATACCGCCGTTGATTACACTGCATTTGACCAGACAAACATGCACATTCATGTCCCTGAAAGTTATAAACAAAGCCTAGAATTTACACCTAACCATAAATGCCGTTTCCAAAATCAGAAGCATTTTCTGAAAGAATTCCTTAGCTTACATACTGAGCCATCCCGAGTGATAGCACAACGTTGACCTAGAAATCGGGGTATTGAATTTTGAAATGTGTCTTGAATTTTGTTTCGTTGCATGCCTCAATTCTGATATTTTTGTTGCAAACTTCGCTCGTAAATGATTTATTTTTCAAAATGATAGTTATCGGCTCTTGCCTCTTTGTATGTTCATTTTTGCTCTTTCGTTTTAGCTCATTATATTAGTCTTTGAACTTATGCGTTTTTAACAGTTTATATTTTTTATAATAGTATTCAAGACAGGCCCTTACTACGTTTATACAACCTCGTGTTATATTTTATTTGTTGTAGGCATGATTCCTGACATTTACTGTTTCTGTTCACATGTTCTCCCTGTCACTTCGTCTGTTTGAGATGCTAACGCTGCTTCTTTGCTACAGCTGCCTGGTCTCTTGAGACCTCCCGCCCTTCGTTGGTGATGAATGTACAGTAAATTTTCAATATTCGAGACATTTCGCCCCTCTTTGTCGATGAATGTACAAAAAATTTTCAATATTCGAGACGTTCCGCCTTACTGGTGAAGTTAATTTTGGACCTCCTGTTCTAAACGGCTTGAAAACTAAAGAGCTGGCAAACCATCCTACTATTAATATTACTTATACGTTTGCAACCAGGTGATCGGGTGCAATAAATAATTTTATATTATTAATCAGGCCAGTAGAAAAAGAAATTAACTTTTGCGAAATTTATTAACTTATTTATTTATTTATTTTTAAGTATCGAAAATCAAATTTTATATCTGTTTTGTCAGATCATTTGGACATGTGCGATATGAGAGAAAGTATGGCTAACCTCCACTTTTTACTGATATAATAATAACAAAATTAATTAAAAATTCTGCTTCCGTGTGAATTTATAAATATTCGAAGGTTGCCTGTTGATTCCATATGCCGCCGTGTACGAAAAATCCTATCTAATCCAACATTAATCCTCCCTTACATTCCTGTGTGTTTACCGTACCTGGGAAATCTTCGTTGTATCAAGTGGAATAGAAATGTTTGTATTGTATCGTGTAATAAATTTCAATGGGATTTTGAGTTTTCATTCTCCCTGATATCAATTTCGAACTAAATTTAAATTTGAGCCAAGAAATCAGAGTGTAATAATGAGATGAAATTCTGATTTTACTTCGGAAAAAATTATTCGGTATTTATATCTTAAAGCTTCTAGGACAAGAGTTGTCTAACTGTCGTCGGAGCGTTCGACCTTATTAGGCATTTTAAAGGGGGGCGTCTACCCTCCAGAAAAACTTCCACATTTACTAACGGATCTTTCTGAAACTTCACACATACATGTAAAACCGAAATACAAGCAGATTTTGTTCCTATGATTTTTTCGAAAAAATTTTTTTTCACGCCGGCGGGATTTCACGCCCTGTGTGAAAGGGGCCTAAGATGAGACTAAAAACCGGAAAAGCTAATCCGAAAACTTTAGGATAGACGCCCTCCTTAATGAACAGTGTCGAATAAAAAAAAATTACAAAAGTAAGACTTCTTACCACACAAGCGTTAAGAATTTTCGGAAAATTATATACTTGTTCACGTATTGGTCAGGTCTGCTTGTGCGCTGTCAATTTACTAGTTAGTTTTTTACGCACGTTTTTCATCCTGCAGTTCGCTCAACTGCGAAGTGCAAACCATGGCTGCGTCGTGACGAGTCTGCGTACCCATAGCAACGTCCTCTGAATTATAGGGTAAGTAAACAACGGCTCGATTCACAGGATTTTATTACGAAATAATGCATAATCTTCAACGTAACAGTCATCTATTCATACCTTCATGCGCATTGCTAGGCACTGTCAAATTATTGGAGCTTTATCTGTTGGCTGCAATGTTCGCCCGCAGCTGCTACGTTTGGACTCCGAACTTCAATATTTTTAGCGTACAGTTTACACACTTAAAACTGCTTGGTAAGAGACTGGAGTTTATAAACTAAATGAGGAGCGACGGCGATAACAACTCAACTGTATAGAGATGCTTAATCGTGTACACTGTCCGTCTCATAATGCATAGTATCTTCATGATGCTGGTGAACTTTAGTAGCATGCTGATTTTAGTGGAATGCCTAGTAACAATTTATTTCAGGTTATTTAAACGGTCAGCAAGTTTTTTTTCAGAGTTTTTTCTTCTTGGGACCATGGCTTGCACATTGAGAACAAATGTATAATTTAGCATTTATAGCAGCATATCACTTGATTATTTCATGTGCTTAAGGTCCACCGAAATCTCAAGTCGTACACAATTATATTTTTATTATCTTGATTAATATGCATTGTGAATACGATCTCTATAAATTCGTATATAATTCAACAAGCAGTTTCTTAACAAACACAAAAAAACGTACATAAATTGTCACACTTTCATCATGATAAATATAGTAAAATATATTTTATTCTGTTATTTGAAAAATATTTCAAGTTTGTAAAATTTTCCTCGTATTTATAAACGTTGAATAAAGAAATAAATTAGTCTTCTATTCCTGCGAACTCGTTCTGTTCCACCGCCCATTTCCGAATCGTGCACATGTTACGAATATATCAACAACCCACAGTCAACATATAATAATATATATAATTTATATAGCTGTTTCAGCGTTTATTAGGCCTTATGCCTGTCGCCGATTCTTAATTTCACAGAACATCCATAGCTTGTTGCGGTCTCGAACTCGCAACTCACTGCTTCAAATTTTCTTTGCACAACTGCCCGGCCTCCTCGCCGATTCTGACCAAAAACTGGCGCACAGGCTGGGATCGAACCCGCACCTCTCTGCTTCAATCCTGATACTCTGAACTTTAACCACTGTGCCACTGAATTTGCTGATTACTCTTATCAAGAACTTTCCAAGAAAAACGAAAATTCGTTGTCTTTAACTAATCTTACTTTGCAATTCTTCTACCAGAATAATGATACATCAGCATCATCGTTCGGGTCTACCGTGAAAAGAGGTATTCGTCAAAGATTGAACGTATAAATTCGTTGCCTTTATGTAATTCATTGACGTTTATATGAAAACTATCCGTTATTATAACGACTAAAACTATCGCTATTCATCTACGAGATCACAAGCACATTTAACCGAAGTCGCCATTTAAAAAGTAATTGTTTAGCCTCTTAAAAGAAATCACTTCACATTTTATCGAATTCGATGATACCGGTTATGCATGATGGCTATATTGACTTAAACCAGTGGTTCCCGACCTCTTTGTGACTGCGCAGCATTTCCAGCTCGTCCCATACAATCAACGCATACTACCAGGTAATTACAATAAAATGACATATCAGCCGCTAATATGCACAATCATTAGCATTTAATTTTTCTCAATTCCTTACAAATTAGTTCGTTGAGTAAGTTCATTGTTGGGCTGCTGGGAGCAGGCGGGTGGTATATGACAACTGTAGCAAATCGTTGCCAGATTATCTTGTGTTAAACCCTAAACATTTTTATGGAGTAAAAAACAATGAAAATCGTTCATGACCCAATTGCACTCACAAAAAGTGTTCAGGTACCACCTGAAAGACCTGACATACTATAGGTCACACGCGTTCTACCGTTGTCACACCTGTGCATTCAGTTTGACTCGTGTTAGATGGAGAGGGTTTGACAACTCTTCCTCTCAGGTGTTGAGATTCGTGTTTCTACTTTTATGCTAAGAATATAATTCTTTTTACAAGACATCGATGTGGTGTACTTACGCATACTTAGAGTAGAAGAAATCTTGAGCAACTTATTTGAGAATTGCTTCTAGGCGTTTTGTGTATCCACCGACGCTCCGCCGCCGTTTTTTATGAACCAAATTTGACATAGAGTTAATTGGTTAAAAAAATTGAAGCACTACGTAGGATATCTACGTATCCCATTACATCCTCTATCAGCCCAAGGTACAGCTAAGGAACATTCGCATATATATAAAGTCAACGCTTCAAAATATTTTATCACAGATAATACATGGAAAGTGTAAGCATAAGCCAACAGAGTCATAGCTCCGAAAGATCGGTTATACTTTTGCATAATTGATCCAATCAATTTAAATGTTATTTTATGACAAATTTGTTTGTGTTGAACTCGAAAGTCATGGACTGATTCTTTTTACCTAGAAATTGAAATGTTCCTCCTGAATTAACACATATTTAGACAATTTATATTAAGTACGTTTTATCAAATATATTGAAGTATTTTTTTTTCTGTAAACGAAAATTAACCTACTACATTCAATATAATTTCATCGACTGGTAATTTCAAGGAAATAAAATTCAAACATCATCTTAAAAACTTAACGATTATTAAGGGATGCAGTTCCTCTGACAGCAACTATACATACTATTTTCTTGGTTGGCACTTATAAACGTACGCCCGAATCTTCTGTACATTCACTCATATCATAAATGATCGATCACTTTCCCTGCTTAAAATGTCCAGCAATAATTAATACATAAATTATGGACAATATGAGGAGAACTACGAGGATCATTGTAGTTATTCGTGAATATCGGCAAATTTCGAGGCATTTTTTTAAGCCAAGACATGACGCCTCTGGGAATAGTGAAGTGTAGGATGGGGGAGGTCCGTGGCCTCGGCCTCTGTTATGCCCTCGTCGGTGTAGGTTAAGATGATGGACTGGTACAGGATAAGGGTCGACTCGGCTTGCTCGATGACCACCGTACCGGAAAATTGTCCAAATTGGAAATTCGAGTCCAAAGGTTCTGTGGGCGGGAGACTCTCGGAGTTTGTATTGTTCTTGGTAGCGTTTGGAACTGCAAACGTAACATGGGAGGCCTGAGTAACCGCAGCCTGGTAGGCAATCTGGTCCAGCAGGTGGCAGGTGCGACAGGTCGTGACTGCTGCTACGTTTCAAGTTGGACCAATTGTACAGACCGCTCCTTGCTCGGCACACGTTCGTACTTCGAGGTCTGCTGTTGAGGGTACTTGCCGGTCTATGAGCGCTGTGGCGCCGCACGCTTAAGGGTCTGTTACCGTACAAGATACTCATAGGACGCACGCCGTTGTCAGGATCGATGTGTGGACCTTCCTCGGCCCGTAATACCGCGAGTTCATCGAGCGCCGACGCCATGCTGTCGACTACCGTAGGCAATTCTTCCCTGAGCGTCGACGTTGACGCCTGACCGTAACCGGGATGTGGGGTGGTTGACCTCACCAGAATTGTACCTGGAACTCTGAAGAAAAGAAATAGAAACGAAATAAAAACAATGCTCAGTATCAAAACAATGCAGCTCCAGTGGCTCAATTGAGGCAAAACTTATTATACTGTCAGATTGAGCAACTGTGTATCAGTGCACCATGCTTTTGCAGGACACTGGGGCCATATAAGCGCTCTTTTGTTAAGATCATGTCGAATCATACTATAAATTGCAATCATGTTCACCTATATTCAAGGAACGAAGAGCAAATGTTTCAGTTTTTGTGGACAAAAAAAGTTAACAGTGTGGACAACTTCTGTTAACACTCTGATTCAATGAATTCTACTTCATTTTGCTTAAAATAAATTAAGTAATTTTGTAATAAATGAAGGAAAATATTGCGTAAGTAAATGAAGTTTGAGTCCGTTGCAGGAATTTTTGCGTAAAATAATTCCGACACTGTTTCGTAAGGGCAACGCAAATGACCATGACAAGGTTAAGATTCTTGAAAGAAAGCCAGTTACTTCGTACGCTTTTTCAAAAAATTTCTGTGAATGCATAATCCCTTTAGCCATATTCAATCCTTGATTATTATCGACTTGAACTTATTCATCATGCTCACCTGGCGGTTGATGTAGATGGACGAGACGACTCTCTTGCTAAGGCGGATGGTATGCGGCTGTCGGGCTCGATGATTGGATCCAAACGTGATATCCTACGAGTTTCCAAGTATGACCGACCCGGCCTAGAAGAAGATGGCGTGTGTGGTGTTCGAATACTTAGCAGATCTGCGTCAGTTTCCTGTTGCAAGGATTGTTCTGTGTCTAAGATGGACTGCCGGTCAGTGGAGAACAGAGTGCTGTTGTTCTCTGATGCAGAACGGACTGATATCACACTGGCTGCCGGATGAGCTGTGGATTGGGGTTGCTGGATTCTACTTTCCACTTCTAGAGAGCCGTCGAGGGGTAATGTGTTCGTCTGTCGTGTTGTCACTCTCTGTCTTGAGTTGAGCTTAGGAGGCAGAGGTTCAGCTACTTCTATTGGCTCGATACAAGGAGTGGAGTTTTTCATTGCTGAAGAATTATCCTCTCCAGCATGTCTACTTCCATCACTGATTTCTAACGCGTCAGTTCCGTCTTCAATTGTATAGTCTTGTCGACTGGTGAGTTCATTGATTTCAAGTAGCAAATTAGTGGGCTCCATTTCTAGACCGGTTATTCCGATAGATTGGTCTAAAGCACCAACATTCGTTTCTGCAGACATTGATTGATTTTTAACGTAGAGTTCACGCTCTTCCGTCGATACATTTAATATTACTCCATTATCGTTTGAATTTGAACCTACAACTTGTAAGTTATTTGTTCCATCGTGTAATGAAATTTCAGGTCCAGGATCAACAACAAAACTAGCATTCTCGGGTGCACCAGAAGCGACCAAATCTCTGAGTTCGTGCACAACAACGACATCTTCGTCTTCTTCGACCATTTCCAGGTCTTCAGGTATTTCATCACCTACGTTGGTTTCCATTGAAAGGTTGTCTAGGTCCATGTTGCGATGACTATTCCAAGTACTGCAGTCTGCTGAGGACCTCCGTCGCTCTCCCAAATGGCTGGCAGGGCTTTTGACTAATAGCAGGTCTATCATTGGAATTGGGTCTAAAGCCGTCAATGCATCGGCAACGTCAACTAAATGTTCTTGACTCCGACTAGACCTTCTAGATCCGGTATTTGAAGAACAGGGCGATTTCGAACATTTGCGACTGCTCCTCCCCGATCGCAAGCCATTCATAGAAGCCACCCGAGTTTCACTATTTAGTCTTTCAACACTCAAGGGTTCATGCAATTCAGGAATAACTAATGCTGGGTTTTGGTCATCACGCGATGCCCCTTTCAAGTCAACATTTGAACTGATGTCCGAAATGGATGTCACCTTGCGACTTACGCTTTCGACTCTCAGCTCACACCGAGCAGGATTATCATTGATGTCAAGTGTTCCATGCGAATTAAAACTTCTGGCGCTTGCAAGGGCACTACGATTTTCATTACGATCATTTAGACTCGTGTTTTGGATCGGAACTTCATTTTCAGTGCATTGGATGGCGTCATTTCCAACGAAAACATCGTTCTGTTGCATTTCAGCTGTGCTCCTCTCCGGGAGTCTATAATTCGCAGCCTCGGTATCCTCGTCTGATGGATCTGTCACTAGATTGACGATTGCATCATTCCCATTTTCTTCTTCCTCAGTTCCCCCAAGTCTGATTGACTCGTTATCAAAGAAAGAAAAGGAATCATCATCTTGCTGCTCAGAGGATGTATCTCCACTAGAGCTTCCTGGTGGGAAGTTTCCACTAATATTTTGATTATTTTTTTCATGGTCAGTGTCGTCCATGCTAAAGATGTGAAGCTTTTTTCAACCTGCGTGGGTGCTTACACATAGCTGAGTATTTATAGAGGCATCTTTCCTTTCTATATGTCTGGTTGATTGCGATGGGACTGATGGGCGTGTTTCAGCCAAGATGAGTCTTCATTGTTGATTCAAACGAATAGCGAAACAAACTGTATGAATCGGTTGAATACACGTATCAGTGAATAAAATATAACATAATTTATGTAGAATAAATTTTCCGAAAACTCGAGAACTTATATTCATAGTAACTCATGGATTCAGTATAAATTCTAAAATGAAAACAATTCTTTTTAATTACATATTATTTCGAGCTTGTAGTTTCCACTCAAAGTTCACCGAGTAATTTAAATTTTATTGCTCACAATTTTCTCAAATTTCACGAAATATTTCTTGATAATACACGAATTTCCTATTTTCTAATGGAGTCATTGCGGAAAAAATATTGGTTTATGCTTGAATTAGGATTGTTATACATATAAGACATAAATTCGACTTATTCACACTCTGGTTCCTAAGCTTAGTAACACATTCGTTCCCGGACGGGTCAAGGTGAAAGATCACAGGAAATGACCAGTTTGCACGAAAAATCACGCTGTCTTCTAGCTCTCTTGATATCCTTACCTCTTTACCTAGATACCACCATCCTTTGTTGTGAAACGTATGCAGTGTATGACCTATATATTCCTGCCTAATCAATGTATTGGAGTTTGCGGAGATCTATAGTCTTATCCTGAAGACCTACTATATACTGCACAAAGAATGTACTGCGAAAAGAATATGCGTACATTATCCATTGGGATATGAGCTTTTGAGAAGCAAAGTAATCAATCAATTACATAAGCAAATGGGCCACGCAGAGTGATGAATTTGAAATGTGATAGTAGGTGAACATCGAATGAATTCTATAGAATATTCCGGCCAATGGTTATTATTGTTATGTTGTGAATTTTTCCCATTTAGTGTTATTATTTACGTGAAATGCATTACTTTAAATTATCTACAAAAATACCTAATTTTTCGCAAACATCAAATATTTTTGTCAATACGTTTTGTAATTTATAATCTAGTGCAGGAAAGTTACTGTAATATCAGGAGCATTTACCGTAGAGTTTCGAATCGAAATCGAAGCTATAGAGGGGCTGCTTAAAAACGAGGAGAGTATTTTGGTAGCGGCATGCATTTTCCACTGAGAATATTGAGCTGGGCTAAAAATTGGTAGAAAAATTAACAATTATTAATTTTAAATATAAATTTTATTAAAATCAACAATTATGGCCAGAAGTTGAAAAAGAAATTACGCCAAATTCGGAAGTAAAAAGTACTTGCCGCTACCACTATTGGCTAATACTTTCTCCGTGTATGAGCAACTTGAGTCTCAAAAGACACATGTGCGGTAGCACGTATTCCGCTTCATTCTTGTGTTGAGATTAATACACGATCTTTCCTTTATAATCATTATATGCTATTGCTTAACTCTAGATCAATAAGAACGTACGATTTGCGTGACTCAATCGTCGCGACTTGGTGGCAGTGTTACACGCGAGTCTGATAACGGTTTCTCATTGCCCAAACTATGGATGACTCATGCAAAAAGAGGCTCCGATCTAAACTTTATTCGCGGAAAATCTTTTAATGCACCATCTTCGTTGATTACATTTTCCAAGAAGTTTGAGGTGCTTGCTCGCGAATCCTAAAAAAATGATGCGGTAGTTATTTTACATTACAATTTGATTTTATTGTCGCATTTTGAATTTATTGATATTAACATTTGTCTACGTATAGAAAAAAATTTACTCGCACATCTTGCGAAAAAAATTTATGCGATTAGGAGAAATGAACGCTTGCCAACATTCCAAGGAATGTGGTGACATTCATCTTCAAAGAAGTTGGCATTCGCCTACAAATGAGAATATACAAGTTTTATGTGCACGGATGTTCACACATTGATAATCATTGGATCCCTAATTTATCTTAATTCAGTATAAATTTTTGATGCATTGAATTAATATTTTTCGATCTTTATCATTTATTTAGAATTTCGCTACTTAGGTATTGACCTAAACATAACTAGCAGCTGTAATGTCGAGGATGCAATTAAAAAAAACTCATCATACATGCCTGATTTATGAGATTATTTCTAAGTCAGAAGTTGTAAAGCGGGAACGAAATAGATAAAGATACTGAGTCCTCAGCTTTCTGATATTTTTTCATATATTTTCTGTTTATAGCAAACAAAGGTTGCTGCCAACCTCATATTTCTCGATAACACGAGTTGTATCGAGCTGCGGACTACGTCATTGGCATGACTCGTTCACCTTCACAATCGGAGCGTCAAACGTCAGATGACATTCAAGATCTTCTTAATTATTAAAAAATTACTTTCGAGATATTTACATCCGACTACAGAGGCTTGATGCATAGGACAGATGGCTGGATATAAATATGATCTGTTCCGATCTTGTGGTAAGAAAACTGCACAATTACGTAAAGACATCAATATTAAGTGAATGGCTGATTTTAACTTGGATCACGTTCAAGACATTCGGTCGTAATATCAGTTTAAATAGTCTTGATTAAGCCCGTGGTGTTAGATCCATTTAGATTATTTTTTTAATTAGAGATTATATGCACTTTATAAGATGAAGGCAATAAAATGCCAGGAATTTTAATTTATACTCAAATGAAGTAAGCATTTTGAGAAGGAAAACATCTACTATGAACAAAATTGCCAACGAATTTCTCAATAATTTAGACATGGCTTAGATTTTGGACATGAATTTTGGACTTGAAATGGGGCTATGCAGTTCATCATACGATCTGAAGAAGTCAATATGATGAATGCCACTGGCTGGTAAAGGTGCTGCTCTGGGCTCAGTTTTTATGACATTCAACTGCGAGAAAAATCTCTATCTGGAAAGGTGCCATGGCTGGAAATGTGTCTAAAGGCGCCACTAGTGACATGATAGTTTATCAGAAGAGCATTGTTCGTTCCCTGTTCCCGGAATATTTTACTTAATAAATTTGTAAAATTGTGCTCACATCATGGCGTTCCAACTACGAGGACAATTTTAAAGAGATTTTTTAATATTAGCAAAACCTAAAATTTTCCATCAAAACAATTGTAACGAGATGTTCGAGAAATTTTCATACTCTACGATATCTATCGCATACTTATTTTTATTGGAATTTCCCAAAAAATTCTCTGCTGGTAGTATGTAAATTAAACCATTTATTACACAAATTGTTAAAATTATTTTTTCCATTGGATGTTGATTACATTTTGCATAACTGATTTATATTTCGTGACGTGCCTTCCCACTGAAATTAATTTGATATCATTGTCATCAATTGGAGAAGCTAAAAAATTAGGTAAATGTATTGATGAAAATTTCTTTCGATTTTATTAGGCCGCAGTGCATCCATTTGCTTGAGTTACCGTGACGCGTGAAGGTTGCCAGGCAGCAGTCGCAAACAAGTAAGCCGGAGCTCTGAGGTGCAAGGTGATATTGATGTTCTTACTCCGTCATCTGATATCTTTACGAAGCGATTATTGTAATTTATACTCTGCCTTATACTTTTTTAACCAAGCTTATTGACATCTTAACGAAATTTTATAATATTGTCATCTTCATTCTTGGCACTTATACCATGCTATTACCATGATTATTAACATTTC